ATGGAGTCCCAGGTCTTTACAGACTGGTTTCAAGTCGAGTCCCAGTGACTAAAATTTAATGCCATTTTAACACTTAACACAGAAAATGATGGCAACATTAATATGGCCTATTTACTGAAAGCGGCTCATTTTGACAAGCAATACACAAATTCTGTGATTTTTAACACATTGAAGGTCATATGACAAAAATAACACTAATTAGCTGGGCATAATCTAAAAACAACCACTAGTTTGAATTAAATTTAGACGACAAAGTATAGAAATCAGAATGGCTGCCTAATTCAACTATTTAAATAACTATTGATTATGCAATTACATTTTAATAGTGCAGCTAAACAAACGTTAACTTCTAGAGGTCAAGTCAAGCCACTCTACAAATCAAAATGACCATGATGATCAAAGTTTACAGGAAAGAGTGTTTATTTTAACTGTGAAAGAAATCATTCAAGCAGAGAAAGAGGACCCAGTTCCTTTTGTTTACTTGCAATAGAGAAAAACAGTAGCCTACGTTTGTGTATGTAGCAAACATATCATGTGCCGAGCATTGAATTTCACTAGACTCCAGGCTCTGGAGGCAAACTTGAAATGTCGTGCTTGTCTCCTTTATCCTGCAAAATGAAATATGCATAGTAACAACAGTACCTGAAATTTGATGACCTTGTTTTAACGATATTTTGTCAAAAATCCTTTTGATGCAGTTCCGGCATGCCTGTGCAAAGAAAAGGAATTTGGTGTAATTTGTGTTTAATTCAAAGTTTAATTCAGAAGTCTTTTTAATTTTGTTGAGTCGAGTCATTAAATTCATGACCCGAGTCCACCCTTCTGCTTGGCATGTTCTAGCCTCTGTGCACCTCTGCAAGCAATGCTTTCCCATGAACCCCTTTACTGTGCAGATAAGTTTGTGTGCATCTTCACAGAAGATGTTTAACATATTGGAAAAAAAAATGTGCCATTCAACATTTGGACAGGCCACATTTTGTGTTATATTGTTCAATTGAGCAAATAAACAGTGATTATGTATTAAATTCGCAGTGTGTTCTGTAGAGGATGTGTTAAATTGTCATTTAGAAAACCAACAAAACGTCATTTGTCCAGGGGCACCCAAACTTTTGAAGAATCAATAATTTTATCAACAATATATAAACAATTGATATCATTATTCTTGGCAGTGTAAAACATTTTATCATTGGGATTTTTGAAGGCTGTGCATTTAAAATATTTGAATGGCAAAAACGATGGAAATGTCCATCCCTAGTTTTAGCTCTAGCTGTCTTGACAAAAGGCTAGAACTTGACATTTTCTCTCAGACAGAGAGCTTTCCTCCCATGATGAAGTCATCGTCCTCATCTTCCTCCTCCACTGTATAAATCAGCGAGAAACCTCCTTTGATCCAGTGACAAAGGTGTCAGGCACTTTCCTGGACTGAATAAAGTTTTAGGGAGTTCTAGTGTTTCTCCTCATAAATGTGCCATTGCACAAAGTAATTTATTAAGAAGACAATGAGGCGTACAGGAGGCCATTACTCTCTCTGTCTAAACCATATGTCGAAAGTAAACACACAAACTGCGAGCACTGTTTTTTTTTCCCCCACTTTTTTACGTTCGGAGCGTGATGTTGTAAAAACGGCAGGCCCAGACTGACATGTTTACACACTCTTATTTCCAACCTCGTCTTGTTAATCGAAGGCGGTCCTGACGTGGCGGGGGCCATCTCTGCATTGGTATGCAGGGTCCCGGCTCTTCATAATGGGATAATTGGCAGGCTCTCAGCTAGATCTGCTGATAGGTCAGAATCTGGATCAAAGTCCACAAGCATGCAATTTGCAATGCTAATTTCCGCCCGAAGAGTAATTGTGCTTAGGAGAGGGGCGCTAAACGAGGAGCTTTGTAGCCTCTCTAAAGAGCCTTTTGTCTGGCTGAAAGCCACAAAGGGAGAGATTATATTGCTCTTCAGATTTGATTGGCCTCTGCCATTGACTTACATGACCCCAAGGACTGGAGAGATAAACCCTGACCTTTGACCCCTGTAAAGGGCACAAGGATGTGACTGAGGAAGGCAGTGGGCTGAAAGAGAGGAACTTTGGTGTCTCAAAAGAACAAATGGACGGGAGATTTCAACAATTGCTGGGTTAAAAAGCGTCCTCAGTAGAGATAGTGCTTGAAATTAGCCTCATTATCTCTCACTTGAGAACATCACGAGAGCTTTGCAGATTCCTGGTAAAAGAGAATGAAGTGTGGAGATTAGAAGTTAAAAGTGCTCTGAGGGGGCATGTGAGTTATGAGTTAAATACAGCTCAATCATCACTAGTACTTTAATCAGGCATGAATTTTTTATTCAAACCTGGATGTAGGGCAAGAATTTCTGCCGGAGATCTTCCCTCAGCACCAGGTTTAGAATCTGAACCAGACTGTAGCCCAACTAAATTCTGTCCAAACACTCATGTAGTCCAAAAAAATTCTGTCCAACCCTAACCGTAGCCCAACAAAATTCTGTTTGAACCTGATTGCAGCCTGATAGCAGTCTGTCCAAACCTAACTGTAGCCTGACAAAATTCTGTCTGAACCCAACCATAGCCCAGGAAAATTCTGTCCGAACCCAACCGTAACCCCAAAAACCCAAAAACCCAACTGTATCGTGACAAAGTTCTGTCCAAAATTGATTATATTTCAAGAAACATCTTTCTGTCTACTCGACTGTAGCCCAACCAAAATTCTGTCCACGTTTGTTTTTAGCCCAACAAAATTCCATTTGAACCTGAATGCAGCCCAATAGGATTCTATCCAAACCAAATCCAAAGTGTAGCCTGACAAAGTTCTGTCTGACCCCAAATGTAGCCAACAAAGTTCTGCCCACATCCAGCCTTAGCTCAACAAAATTCTCTCTGAACCCAACCATAGCCCAACAAAATTCTGTCTGAACTCAACCATAGCCCAACAAAATTCTGTCTGAACTCAACCATAGCCCAACAAAATTCTGTCTGAACTGTAATGTAGCCTGACAAAATTCTGCCACAGCCCAACTGTAGCCACTCTTAATTTTGTCCAAACCTAAGTGTAGGAAATCTAAATTTTATCTAAATCTGATTGTAACCCAAATGTAACTGGAAAATATTCTATGTGACCCTGACTATAACCTGATGAAGTTGTTCAAACTTGTCTGTAGCTTGATAATTGTCTGTCTGCATCCAACTAGTCCAACAAAATTCCATCTGAACTTGACTGCAGCCAAACAAAATTCTGTCTGCACCTGTTTCTAGACCAACAAAATTCTGCCCAAACCCAACAGTAGACCAACAAAATTCTGTTCAAATTCAACTGTAGCCCAACAAATTTCTATCTGAACCCAACTGTAACCTGACAAAAATTTCTCCAAAAATCAGTCCCAGTCTTATCAGAGCATGACCACCATCAACCAGTGACTCAATAAAACTAAAGCATGTAGGTAGGTGGAAACAGGGATAAATGTAGGTCATAATTTATTAACAGTGGGAGATTTGCTATGAAAAACAGAACATGAAATTTGAACTAATTCTGATTGAGCTCACCTAAACCCAATGAATACTCAAGTTTCGATGAGTTATGTCAAATATTTCAAGCTCTTCTCTTAAGCAGCCAGTGCTGAAGGAAAGTTCCAGCCACGCTGATGCAGGTAGGCCTATTCCAAATAATTATCAGGTTCCTTACCACTTTAATTGAAATCGGTCTAGCCTGAACTGAGTGCTGAAGAAAATGTAATCATCGGGGGGGTCCCAGATAAGAATTTCTAAGATTCTTCGTCTTAATTAGAGTCGCTCTCCAAACCCTATCCATGTGCATCCACATTCGCCCAGCAAAGGCATCAAACCATACGGTCATTATCCGTGCCGCCACTTCCGTCTGCCCTTCTGTTGTCTGTTTGTTCCAGCAGATTTGCTTCATATTTCCCTCTCGTGAATTCATCTTGTTCTTCATTCTGAGATTTACATGCCATGCTGTTTCTTGTGTCACGGTTTGAAGGCCATGAAAAGCAGGCCGTCCTCAGCGGCAAGGTCCAAGAGTCCTTTAAACCTGCTCATTCGATTCATCATGTGGTTTGCGTCTTTGCGCATTTGGCTGCGAGCCTTTCTGTGGGAGGCTTCCAGGCCTGCGAGACCCCATGCTCCTTCAGCTCGCAGGGGAATTAGAGTGATAGATCAGGGAGGAAGCGTGCACGGTTATTATTACCTAATTCCAGATGGCTGCTTTGATGGCAACAAATGGCCTGCAGCCGCGCGAGCGCCCGGCGATGAAACGGTCAGGCCATGCTAGCGCAGATTTCTCCTGGCACAGGCGCAGGACTGAAATTAAGGAGCTCTGCGAGGCGGGAATACTGACTTGCTGACTAATGACTCACAGAATCTTCATCAGCGTGGACTCCTTGTTCTCACTGCGGCACTGCGAGCGAGGCTTCCCTTGCGTTGACCTTGTACCTTGACCTTGAGGGAGCAAAGAGAGTGGGAGTGGATCTCAGGGAGTGGGTCGGTCAGAATATGTCCTTTTACTGTTGAGTGTTTACAACTTTTCCCAAATGTTGTCCAGCAGCCAAGACCAAAATTGGTATTTAAAGCTTGCTTTTGTAGTTCTGGAGCTACAAAGCTTTGTAAACATGGACAAAAGTGGACAAATTTCAGTCTTCAAAATGGCATCTATTACTCCATATTTCAAAGAATGTCAGAAACCATATAAGCAACTCTACTTGAGACGACTTGACACAGTTTAAGTCAAGCATGGTGTGGTATTGCAGTATATGCATTCATGACTTAGCTACATTAGCCTTGCAGCTCTAGTGCCAAACTAAAGAAGCCAACTTCAGACACCAAGCGCAGTTTGGTTGATCATCTATAGGGGATCACTTAATGGGAAAATTCCATAAATCTGATTAATCGCAAAACTATTTTCACACTTGTGTGTTTTGTGGCATACTGCTAACTCATCATGATGCGCTAACTCCCCTGTATTGTGTGGCTGTGCTGTACTCTGTAGGAGGTGATGCAGATGGAGGCGCAGCTGGGAGGCCGACTGATTGACGAGCCACACGTGCTTCTCTTCAAAGACAGCTACCACAACCTGCGCCTCTCCATCCATGACCTGCCCCAGGCTCACTGGAGGAGCAAGCTACTCACCGGCTACCAGGTGGGACTCTTTCTTCCTTTCATTATCCCTCTTCTTCTTTCTTTTCTCCCTTTTGTTCTCAATCTTTTTTCCTTGGCTTCTATCTCCATTCCTACCTCCCCCTCTTCTCCTCTCCATTTCTGACTCACTCTCCCTGCTATTACACTTATTTATCCTTAAGATGGCTGTTAGCCATTGTTCTCTTCCATTTTTTTTAAGCAGTGCTTGCGCGTTCCACTGTCTGAGCTTGATCATTGGCCCTCTGAGCAGGAGTTTAGCTGATTTCCCTGTGGGGGCCACATTTAAAAAGGCTTCTTGATATGTTGTCCCAGCCAACGTGAGATTCTTAATGCTGGGTGCACTTCTGTGTTGGAGAGTGCTCTAATTGGATATTTCTTTGGTTTGGCCTCATTAGGCCATTTCTGAACATGCAGGGATTGTGCCGAAACCCCATTAAAGAGCGAACGGCCGTGCAGGGAGCGCAGGAGTGCTGCTCTTTATAGCCTGCCTGGCCTTGGCCATGAGCTAACAGCTCCTTGAACCCTAAGAGAAGCATCCGGAGAGCAGGAGGCCTCACTAGTGCTTCTAAACAGGTTTAAAACTAATTCTGGCTTTCTCAAAGCCCTCGTTTCAGGAGGGAGTTACGTCTAGAGTTGCATGTAAATGCTGAAGACTGACTCTCCTACCTGTTGTTAGAACCTGTCAGAAGTATTTTTAGCATATCATACATCTGTGTTAGCTTGTTAAATGGTGGACTTTGTACTTTTATTTCAGGTTCTGCTTTTATTTTCTATATTCATATTGAAACGTTGAGGACGCAGCTTCCCGTCATTCTTCCCACCACTCGGTGGGTTTTGTTGATTATCAACAGTCCCTTTAGGTAGGTTTTAAATTTTAAGACATATCCTCACGGCAACAAATATATTTAAGTGCATTTTGTATGTTTTTGTTATTTAAACCATAGTAGCTTAATACAGGATAAAAAAAAATACAGTAATAGTAAATTCTGTACAGTCGTTGTAAAAATAGACCAGGTCAGTCTTATAAAGCATGACATAATAACTATTGAAAATATGCATTTAGAAGGTAGCTAATCGGTGTATGTCACATATTTATTGTTCAGCAGTCCAGCAGCCCCAACTTAAAATGCCTTCCTGCATTCCAGGTATGTGTTATGTGTACATTCTCTCAGAGTTGGAGGAGAAATGGAGTAAAGCAGAGCTTCTCCAGGGACAATGAAGCAGTAGAATACTGTGCTAAGGCAGAGTGCAGATGTGTACCAGCAGTTCCATCTCACCATGGACACATTCCTCAGCCTTTATCTCAGTAATGCTCATCTTAGCACGAGCCTAGCACATCAGCTACACTCAGTCTGTACAACAGCTCCCCCTACAGGGGACAGCAGTGCACTGACTGAGCTCATCAACTTGAAGAAGTGACTCAAAACAAGAGGCTGCCTGCTGCTCTGTAGATGCCACACTTGCTTAAGGGGTATGAAACAAATGTCAGCTTTAGACAGGCAGCATAAAATAAAACTAACGTTATAGAGTAAACAGAGAAAACCATTGTCTAGTGAATCAGAGTTAACAGGCACCATTAAGCATTGTTCAAAGGAAATCATGCCAATTTGTCAGGTTGAGCTAAACAATCTAAAAATGCTTTAAAAGTTCTCATCTAAAAGAGTGGTAACTTAAAGTATATTGCTTCTAGTGTAATATGTCGCTGCTAGATACTATTGTTAGCTATTTTTGCCCTGCTAAAAAAGCACCATTAGAAACCATTAGGGTTAAAACTACATGGTTTTGCTTTCTAATGGGAATTGGCTTAATAGTTTCTACCAGAGACCACTAGCTCCGGTAGAACACCTTAAGATTCCATTAGGAAACATATAGAAACAGCCATTAGTCCCATGTTAAACCATTGGGATCGTTTACATTGTGTTATGAATCCATTAAAAAAGCCAAAATACATTACAAAACCATCAGGAACAGAAACACTTAATGGTTTTTATGGTTTTTGGTTGTGCAAAAAATCTAAAAATTGGTAAAAAGCAATAAAAAAGGTCTGGTTGCTCATTATTTTTGTTGAGTTAAAATGTACATTAAAAAAATATTACCTCCAATATAATGTGTGTTTGCTAGCTACCCACCATTAACATTGTTTAAGTGTTTTTGTTGGTTCCTGATGGTTTTACAATGTTTTGGCCTTTTTTAATGAATTGATATCACAAAGTAAAGGATCCTAATGGTTTAACGGGTGACCAGTGGCTGATTCTAAATGTATTTGATGAATTCCTAATGGGATGTAAAGGTGTTCTACAGGAAACTAGTGGTATCTATTGGAAACCAATTCCCAATAGAATGCAAGATCATTAGGTCCTTTTTCAGCAGGGTAGTTGCTAGCTTTAACATACAGATCAGTCAGATTAGCATATGAACTCTACAAATAGCTAACTTAAAGCATATTGCTTCCAGTGTAATGTGTGGATGCTAGCTTTCTCTCATTGTTAGTCAGGTTAGCATAGTTAGTTGACCTAAAGAATCTAAAAATTATTAATAAATGTAGCCTTGAGCAAATTGCTTCCAGGATAATATGTGACTGCTAGCGTCCACTCCCTGTTAGTCATTAGGTTTAGCTAAAAGAAATCTAAAAATAGGTAGAGGCTAACTTTAAACATATTGCTAGTTATGTGTGGTTGCTAGCTTTCAGTGTTAGCCATGTTAGCGTACTTGATTTAGCTAAAAATGGCTTCCCTGCTGAAACAGGATTGTTAGAAACCTTTGGGATTTAAACCTACAGGTTTTGCTTTCTCATAGGAATTAGCTCAATGGTTTTCAATAGAGACCACTCGTTTCCTGTAGAACACCTTAAAATACCATTAGGAAACCAACAAATGCATTTAGAATCAGCCACTGGTCACCTTGGGGATTTAAACCTAATGGTTTTGCTTTCTCATAGGAATTAGCTCAATGGTTTTCAATAGAGACCACTCGGTTCCTGTAGAACACCTTAAAATACCATTAGGAAACCAACAAATGCATTTAGAATCAGCCACTGGTCACCTGTTAAACCATTAGGATCCTTTATGTTCTAATATCAATCCATTAAAAAAGCCAAAACACATTAGAAAACCACCAGAAACCAACATAAACACAATGTTTTTTTTTTTCAGGAGGGTTAAAAAGTATCTTAAAATATGTAATTTCCAGTGTTATATGGTTGCTAAAGTTATAAATGAAATCTTGTATCCTGTAAACGTTTTTTGACTGTTTTCAGCGCTTCTTTAAGCTATCAGTAGCAGTAAACGCTCGCACCTGGATGTGTAGACCAGCTTTCTTGACTGCTTAGTCATAAATCATATTGTGGTCTCTGTTACCCCAAATAACACTGAAGACCTGAGCATCCAAAACTGTAACATCAGATTAAATAGTTTTGTTGCAAAAGTTCGCTTTCATTTTTCTCGGACATGTTGGAACAGGTTCAGGCCGTCCAGTGGCAGGTGCTTAACTGCAGGTTCAGAAATGGGAAAAGGTTTTTTGTTGTATCGCTTATTCTTTTTGAATAAAAGTAGCATGGGCTGCTATGGCGTATAGTATTAAGCTGTAGTTGATATACACAGTACGGTTGGTGCATGGGCTGTTAAGCTCACTACTGGAGTCCAGAGAGCTCTACTCTGGGTCATAGGGCCCAAGAGGCAGATATGCTTCTAGGTCTAGAGCTGGAGCGTTCACTTACAACACAGAAGGGCCTGATGTAATCCCTGCACTGAAAAAAGGATGCATTGAATTGACATGATTCAAGTGTGTGCACCATAATTGCGTTGATGTAATCATTTGTTGATGTAATACAGTACTATGCAAAAGTTAGAGACCACAGTTCTTTTATTATTTCTAGTCAAAACAGCCATTAAGTACAAGTCATTCATTTTTCAGCATCTGGAAAAAAGCAGAAAATATATATTTAAAAGAAAATTATACAGAAGCCTCAACAACTAAATTTAATAGAATTTTTTTCAGCATTTATTTTGTCCACTCTACCTTTATTACAGCTTCCATTCTTTTCAGGAGACTTGTTTTCAGTTTTTCAAAGAAATCTGCAGGGATATTTTTCCACATCTCCAAAGTTCAGTCTTAGAAGTTGGTTGCACTTCCTGCGTCTCACTGTTCAGGTAATCCCACAATGATGTTGAGGTCTGAACTTTGGGGTGGTCAGTCCATTGTTGTTTCTCTGTCTGATTTAATCATTTTTTGGAATCATTGTGGAAACTCCTGTTGTTTTTTTTAATTTCCAAAATTGGAGTTTTGGAAGTGGAGTTGAAAACACAAACAAACCAAAAAGTAGTTGAGATCTTGTGAGCTGGTTAGAGGAACAAAGGTTTGATTTTAGTTTTCTTTGTTTGATTTGTAAATGTTGTTTTTTCTCAGTGAGGCTTCCTGACAGCTACACATCCTTTCAGACCCATAGCACTGAGTCGTCTTCTCAGAGTGGAAGGATGGACAGAAACACCTGTGGATGTTTAAGATCTAAAGCAGCTTGATTTTCTCCTCTCTCTCAAAGATGAAAGCTTTAAGTGCCGTTTATGTGATGGGGGCAGTTTTGGTGGTCTACCAGGTCTTCCAGGTGGTTATTAGGAGTCCAATTTTCTGAACTCCAGTTTTAGAAACTCCTGTTTTCTCACTTTGACTTTCTTCTTCCGTATGCAGGTGGATTATTTTATCTGATTTCAGAATTATCTCCTGAAAAATGAAGAACTTGTACTTAATGATTGTCTTCACTGGAAATTACCTACACTGTGGTGGTCTTTGACTTCTAAGCATAAGTCTTTGACTCAGCATATCGAGGATAATAGACAATATTAACTTAATCACATGTTTTTGACTGGTAATGTATAACTAATGACTGGTAATGTATAAGTAATAATTAAAAGTATGAACATTTCATTATTATATCATCTCTGACTTTCCATACTGCTCTCTCTCTCTCTCTCTCTCTCTCTCTCTCTCTCTCTCTCTCTCTCTCTCTCTCTCTCTCTCTCTCACTGTATAGGAGATCCCATTCTATCACATCTGGAGTGGCTCCCAGAGGAGCTTGCACTGCACGTTCACGCTGGAGAGGCTGAGTGTGAGCACGTGTGAGCTTTCCTGCACGCTGTGTGTGTGGCAGGTGGAGGGAGAAGGCCAGAGCTTCAGCCTCGACTTCAATATCTCCAAGGTAACTGGACCGCCGCTGTCCACTCACAGTCCAGCAGGGCAAGCACGCTGCATCATTTCCTCTGATTTAACACCTCATGCATAATGCATCGGCCAACTCTGACAACCTTCATGAGGGGAATCAGAAGGAAAGCGTGTTGCACTGGCATGACGACAGCTTACTGACACAGCTGCTCGACTTCAGGAGTCATTACTGCTGTTTTGGTTCTTGGTATTGGCGTTCCAGTGCAGTTATTAGGGCTTTAAAATAATTAAAATAATCACAATCAATCACATTCTTTTGTCATTAATAGTGACCCTAAAGAAACCTTTTGTCCCATTTACAAACCTGTGGTTTTTGCGTTGACTGTATGAGTGGACAGTAAGCTTCACCAGAAGATAATTATCACTTTCAGTAATTCAGTAACATGATTTGAATCCAAGATTAATGTAAAAAGGGGGGGGCGTAGTTTTGAAAGTGGCTAGCTAGTGATAAAATGAAAACTGGTGAACGCTTTTATCTTAAAAGTGACAATCATGATGGTCAATATGCTACAAACTAATGCGGAGTGAGTGAAGGTCAGCATTTCCCACTGCTCACCTGCTCAGATATGTCCTCATCCTGCTTAAGAAGCTTGGCTTCTCAGTGCCAGCTCACAGTAGCTGGCCAATAATGCTACCGGCCCACAGGGATGCTGGAAACTCTCCTGATTACCCACTATGGCACTGCTCTGTCCACATATACTTTTTTTCTGAAAACAGCTTTTCTCTGGGTTTTATGACCCTCTATATATACATCTCATAGAGGGACATAAAATTATGTGTTAGTGTGTTAGAGTGTCAGCATTCAGTTTACATTAAAGCAAAAAAAACTAAAAATTCATGAAGAAGGCCAGAAGTGACCCCACATGGTCATTATGATATTTTGCATTCAACACATTTCAAAACCTGAAAGTGGCCCAGTCCCAAAGAGTTAAAATTACAATATTAAAGGAATATTTTTACAAAAGCTAACCCAGAAAATTAAAATCTAGTTAATTACCAGTCTTCAAGGTGCCCTACAAAAGGTGTTCTCAAAGCTCCATCTTTAGATAACTGGTAAAGTTTCACATAAAGGTGAGCTATATGACAAAAAACACAGCATTGTGATACTTGAAGACAGATATCTATCATGTCTCATTTTCTTGGAAAGGACAAGATGCATCAGCAAAACAACAGTACCACAATTAGAAATGAGTACAGCATTTATTTTTTACCTTATAATCTGTTAACTGTAGAAAATCTGAATTTGTCGGTAATTTGTTCAGTGCATTTATATGTACTCAGATAATGAGATAAAGGGAAACTGGATCTACATCAGTGAGGAAATAATCAGATTTCTGCTTCACAACCTGCCAATAAACTCGCATAAGAAGACGTGAAACAAACATAATGTAAAACTCAAACATCATTCATTGGCTTTTTTTTAAACACTGTGTCACTTTAGCGGAAAATATAAATATACATCGTCTTAAAGATGAAGGATTTTTAAATTCTTTGTTTCGTCTAACGTAGTTGGTTTCAGCGTCACTCCAAAAGTGTTTTGTTGCCTTCTCGTTGGTGCCACGTTAAACGCTGCTTGCTCTCTTTATCAGATTCCTTAATCGGATTTCTAAGCCTTAATTCGATCCAAGAAATCAAAGTATGCTGTTTACATGACCACTTGAATAATCAGATAACTGCAGAAATCCGATAACGATTCGATAATTTAGTGCAGGAAACGTGCTTGATGGTAACATCTTTAACATTTGGTTAAAAAACATTAATTAAATAAGATGATGTCATGATGGGCTGACATCCAATCATCTATGCAGAACGAGTGTTTTTACTCATAACCACTCAGCACAGAAAATGCTACAAAGTTTCATTTATACCTGATTCTGTGTAGACATTTGTATTGCAGAAAAGTGCAGTGTGTCATTTGAGCCAGTATTGTAAGCTAACTAACAAGCAAAGATCTAATTAGCCTAATTAGATGCTTTTGAGTGACCAAAAGACCAAAAAAGACCATTAAATTGTTAATTGTGGTTCCAGCTATCCAGCTAGATCTGTAAGTCCTGTTGGTTGACGTTTGGGTGCGTTCTTGTTTGTGAATGTGCTGTGGGAAAACACCCTTATAAAGCTAATGCTTCTTTATTAAACCTTGCAGTGCAATGTGTGGCTTGTTCACAATTATATGACAAAAAATAAGCACACAAATGCATTATTGATCTGGAAGATCAGCTTGAAAAAGCTTTGTTTCTCCAATATGTTGGGTAAATAAATCTCAGGATTAGTACAGATCCTTTTATACCAGTGCAGCACTATTCACCCAGAGGTTCTTTGCTGTTCTGACATGATGCTGATGACATGATTTGTCCTATAACTGGTCCAAACCTACATATATATACATATTGCTGTTGTCGGAAGAAAACCTCGTATCTCCAAAAAACCTACTTTACTTTTAATGTAAGTCTAGGGAACCAGACTTTTTTCCAAGTCATTTGGGGCTGTTTCTTTTGGTCCATTCATCATGAAATTTACAGACAGTGTAAAGGACAACAAGCATTTTCAAATTATGTCATAAACTGAAAAAGTATCTCACAAAAATAGAGATACAAGGTTTTCTTCCGACAACAGCGATATATATATATATATATAACACAACAAGGCGCTGTTATTGATAAATGTTTCATAGTGCACAGTATGAGATCATTGTCTTTAATAGCATGCCTGCATCATCTTACGCTCTCAGCACATGGGCATTGTAGAAACGCTGTATACCATAAAACCATGAAATATGGGAGATTGTAGGCCTGCTCCGAAAGCTATTCTCACTATCTGGGCATTTCAAAATGAGCAATTACAGGAGTCCACCAGGACACAAAGCCACAAATGTCAAAGTGCAGTTTTGCAATTACTTCCTCCATTAAAAATAAGCATTAAACCTTCTCTAGCCATTGGCTTATAGCTGGTGGCTGTAGTTTAAGCCAAGACGTTGTAATCGTCTTTCTCACCACCAGAGTATAAATCTGTTTATGATACACGCTTTTGTTCAGTGCTCTGCTAACCACACCAATTATGTACTCAAAAACAGAGTATTGTTGCTTAATTTATCACGATGACGATAACGCACTGCTCGCCCCTAGCTTTATGCTTATGATCATACACTGTTTTATTATATCCTGACCCTGCAGGATAACAGGCCACTGGACAGTGATTTCCTGCTGGTGGACAACAGTACTCCAGCCTTGGCGGGCCCCAGCGCCTTTCAGATCCCGTACCTCATCCGGCAGAAAATCTGCAGCAGTCTGGACGCTCCCTGCCCCAACGGAGCTGACTGGAGGCTGCTGGCTCAGAGACTCAAGCTCGACAGGTAACTCTGTCTGCTCATTACAGAATCTGAACAGAGAGTGATAGATATGCAGGGTTTCATTCCAAAACACTATATCTGTTTATAAGAATTCGAATTTTTTGAAAAAAATAATAGCTGATGATAATGGAAGACATATTTATTTATTAATCATATCATTCATATTTTTTATATGTGTGAAGTCCACTCCCAACAACCTATAAAAAAATTGAATGTGGTCTGTAATGTGTTTTGCAAAAAAGCCCTTCATATATATATATATATATATATATACAAAATATGGTTCTTCAAGGGTTCTGAACACTCAAAGAACCCTTCGTGTAATTAAAGGGTTATTTTCATCATTAAAGGGTTCTTCAGATTGATGGAGAGAGTGCTATATAGAACCCTTTTCAGAAAGGTTCTATATAGAACCATCTACAGCACATTCTCTATGAATCTGAAGAGCTCCTTAACAATGCAAATAACGCTTTAATCACGCAGTCTCCATGGTTCTATATAGAACCATTTCTATACTGAAGAACCCTTGAAGAACCATCATTTTTAAGAGTTCACATTTTTCTGTCCAAAAATTCAAGCTATAAAACTCCTCTCAGTGAGGACTGGACTCTCAGCAATGTCCTTGCTTTTCTTTCCAAAACCTTGTTGGGACTTATGTAATACTTATATAATGTTCATGAAAAGTTAATTCCAAACACAGCATGTTGTAGCTACTTCTAGGCTTCCATGTGGAATATAGGCCCAAAAACTCAACTCACCTGTCTAATGCTGTACTTGGAAGTGGGATGCTGGAATTACATCATTTTGGACCAGCACAAAGCCGTGCGATGGCTGAAGTGCAGCAAGTCAGGAAAAAAACCTGTGTTCTATGAGCCATGATATCAATAACTTCTGAAGGCAAGAAAGTCTTGATACATTTAAGCGGATTTTTACTATTGCTTTTAATGTTTATTTGCATTTCTTCTAATGTTGTTCTAATAGTGTTTTACTGGTAAAAACACACCACACCTCACACCTCTCAATTTTCATGAGGCTCACTGTTGTTGAGCATCAGCAGCATTGTAACTCTTACTCTTGTGATCTAGTATCAACTAGCAAATGATGCTAGTAAAACAAGCTAAACAAAAGACAGCTGTTTTAGTTTATGTCATGCCAATTTTAATTTCTGAAGTTGGTTCAGGGTACTCAGCAACAGCGGCCATCACTGAAGGTCCACCTTCCTTTTGTTCTGATTTGACAGTACAGAAAAAACACTGGTTCCACTTTAGATTAAGTGTCTCTAATAACTGTGTAGTTACATGTGAACAACATATGCAACAACAATGTAACTGCTAATGATTTAGTCACTGTTACAGATGGATTACAGAAGGACACCTTATGTAATTACACATGTGTATCAACTTTAGTTTTGCCTCATGTAGTTACACAAGTGTATCTTAATAGTTCTAACAGCATATTCTCTCTCATGTAATTACATAAGGGTAATAACATAAATGTAATTACATTGTAATCAGACTGTCATTTTTTTCTGTTTTTTTTCCAGCAGTAAAAGGAAGTTAAGGAAGATAAGACATTACTTACACTGTATCTGCCAGCTTTCCTAACATTTAGCTTTTATTTTTTTATTGCATTTATGTTGCTAGTGCTGTGATACTGTAACCAGTTTCAACTTTAAACCATTCTGTAATGTGACAGTACAGCAGATGCCCTCTTATCTTAAAATATAACTTTTATAACATTAATTAAATGTGTTGCATTTACCCCAAAAGCAACGTCTATATTACCACTACATTATTACACAGTACCTACATAACAACTACACAGGAACTCTCCACTTATTTTAAAGTGTAACTTTAACACTACACTACAGGAAAGTTCCTGTGTAGAAGATACACTTGTGTAATGAGGCAAAACTGAAGTTGATACACACATGTAATTACATTGGCTGTACTTCTGTAATCTATCTGTAACATTGACTAAGTCTTTAGTAGTTACAGTGTTGTTGCATATGTTATTCATGTGTAACTACACAGTTATTGAAGACACTTAAAAAAGTGGGACCAAAACACTCATAACATAGGCTATTTGAGAAGGAGCACCCTGCACAAAAACAGCCGCACTAGGCCCCTGCATGCAAAGCGCATCTCTCCCAGTGAAAACAATTGCAAAAAGTGCCTTGGTCAGCAAAAAACACGTCCAGTGTGAACCACCCCTGAGGGTTTTGCACAGAACTGTATATTCAAGAAAATGAATCAAAGAGATATTTTGTAGACATGACATTTACCCACAGTTATAGAATAACTCAGTTTCACTAGCCCCTATTAGCTCCTTACATTGCTCACTTATTAACCTTATGTGTAATAAAACTATGGAATGTACACTGTGTGGCCAAAGTGAGGAAACCCCTTCTAATTACTGAGTTGTGGTGTTTCAGCCACACCCAGTGCTAACAGGTGTATAAAATCAGGTACCATAATCTCCATAGGCACTGCCTTAGGATGTCACCTTTGCCCTGCTAGATCTGTCAACTGTAAGTTCTATTATTGTGAATTGGAATCAACTAGGAGCAACAACAGCTCAACCACAAAGCAGTAGAGGGGGGCTGCTGAGTGCTGAAGCTCATAGAGTGTAAAAATCTTCTGGTGCATCGCTCACTACAGAGTTCCAAACCACCTCTGGAAGCAACATCAACACAAGAACTGTGCACTGGGAGCTTCATGAAATGGGTTTCCATGGCCGAACAGCTGCATACAAGCCTAAGATCACCATATGCAATACGAAGTGTCGGCTAGAGTGGTGTAAAGCATGGAGCCACTGGACTCTGGAAACACACTTCACTGTCTAGCAGTCTGATGGATGAATCTGGGTTTGGCGGATGCCAGGAAAAAGCTACCTACCGAAATGTAACAGTAAAGTTTGGCTGAGGAGGAATAATGGGCTGGGTCTATTTTTCAGGGTTTGGGCCCCTTAGTTCCAGCGAAGGGTAATGTTGATGCTACGGCAAAGACGTTTTAGACAATTATATGCTTCCAACTTTTTGGCAATAGTTCGTACCCCTGTGAACAAAGTGAGCTCCATAAAGTCACGGTTTAAGGAGTTTGATGTGGATGAACTCCAGTGGCCTGCACCGAGCCCTGACCTCAACGTCACTGAACACCTTTGGGATAAATTCGAATATCAGTTGTGAGCCAGACCTTCTCGTCCAACATCATTGCCTGACCACACAAATGCTCTTTTGACTGAAAGGGCACAAATTCCCACAGACACACTCCAAACTTTGATGAAAAGCTTTCCCAGAAGAGTGTTTCTGTCTTTGTGGGTGTTATGGCTGGGGAGGGACTCCACTTAATGCCCATGACATTAGACATTTATATGTGATGGTCAGGTCTTCATTGGCCACATAGTGTATGTAGTCATGAGTGTGAGGAATAAAATAGGTTTGAACAGTTTGACTCAATATTATCAATGTGGCTAATTGACCGCTACACGCAAACATGATTTCTGGCTGAAGGCTAAGATTCACTTTAGCTTAAAGTTAGTTCAGACAGTGGCAGGTGGCTGTAGATCAGTGGTGTGTTATCGGCTCTTCCACCTGGTCGGGTTCCTCCCCACGCTGCCCTGAGCTGCTTATCGAACACAGGCTGAGTCCACAGGAAATTACAAGGCTGTGATTTAATTATTCTCCTGTTTAACTTCCTCTAGGTAATGAAACATAATGGGTAGACTTCATTTGTCCAATAAGCTTTACTTGGTCCAATTAATTACAATTTGAAGTGGTGAGGCTCGGGTTCAATTAGCACACAGGCCCAAAACAATCCATTTTCATTTAGTCCATTGAGAAGACTGTGGAAATTTAGACGCATTTCCAAATAACTGTTTTATCCCCTCATAAAACTCTTCTACAGAGGTGCATAGAGTGACCTAAACCCACACTCGAGCAAGAGTCTTGTTATTATTCATAGGACTATGAATAAATGTTTACATGGGTTTATTTTAATTGTAGATATTATATCATCTTTCAGTAACATGTTACTTGAACATAACTGAATGTTTTAGCATTTAAAAAATACTCAGAGTGCAAATTTATTACCATTTTACTTAAGTATGTGTAACTGAGTAAATGGACATGGTTAATGTCGACCTCTGGCCTTCTAAGTGTGTTTGAAACAGAGAATCCAGCTCTTGCCCTCTTTATACCCCACCACTCTGAAGCTCTGTGCGAGTTTTCACTCTAGATAAAGTGCATGTAGAGAACAACGCTCCAAGCCTCTGGGCATTTGAAGAACAGAAAAAGGCCGTTAGATCGAAGTAGCCACTCCAGCAAGCTTTTGGAGATGCCATCTTCCAGCGTTGGCCATGCAGCCGACAAGAGCCTCCGCTTTGTTGTTATCGATCAGCTTTGATCCGAAAGGTTCTGGCTGGTCAATGGGAAAAAGGTCACAGGCTACCTGAATATCAGTGCCGCAATGGACTGGCGGGCTCGCTGTAAACTATTCATCAAAGGAATAGTCTGGAGAGCTGATGGTAGTTATTTTAAAGCAATTCCAGGCAAGACTGTCCAGTACAGTACAGTACATGTCCAAAAATATGACACCTGCATATTCAACTTTTCTTCTGAATTCAAGAATATTAATGAGGAGTTAGGCTTCACACTAGATGTTAAAACATTGCTGTGAGGATCTAATTGCAGGCAAAAAAGCTTAAGTGAGGTCAGATCACTCTAAGGTCCAATCCTATTTCTTATTTATATCCCAACCCTTTGTTTTCGAGGGTCACCTAACTCAGTTCCAAGGGGTAGTGGTTGAAATCTTCCCTATGAAATGAGACCCTTAAATAAAAAAGAACATTGCTTCATTAACAGGCTACTAGCTGTGCTCTGTAGGCGACCCTGCCAGTCTGCAGTGATAGCAGAGGGGGGTAAAGTTCGGCAACCTCACTGCTGGGCTTTAGTTAAATTTAGCGCATCATATGCTTTCAAAGAGGGGGGATGCGATAATTATTATCTCCCACCGCTAAGTCTTCTGTGATATGAAGCTGAAGTCAGTTATTCTCCAGCTTCTTGTTCAAATTTTCCCGTTCTGCCTTAAATGGCGCAGCAGTTACATTCTGGCGCTTCAGGCAGTAGAACCCTTGGACTATTTAAGGCGGAACGGGAAATTTAGCTAGCTAGCTACCAAGACATTAGCATACTATTAGTGATTTTTTTTATGCTTGTTATGAAGAAAAGGACCATAAAACACTGAAATGACATTAAACTAAGATAACACAGTGGTTATTGTAACTTTTTAACTGAGAAAATTCTAACATTTGTGGGTCTCTTTGGTCATTTGTGCAGACATCTTGCCAGTTTTTTTTCCTCATAACACTCTGTTTGGTGTGTGCCTCTGAAAGACCTCCGTTTGGAGGGCCACATAGCCCTAACGCTTCTCCCTACCCATCTATCTCAACAAAAATCAGGACACCCTAACCCTATGTGTCAATGTGCAAAACGGAGAGCTAAGGGCTAAGTGGTAGGGGCAAGGAGTGAAAAGGGATTGGGCCTAACTCATCCCAAAGGTATCGGATGGAGCTCCAGCACTCCAGAGTGTGTAAAATATATGTATCTTCTTCAGTCGTATCTGAAAAGCATCTCAGGTGGCTCCTCATGAAGCTGTTAGTGAGAATGCCAAGACCAGTAACCTGTAACCCCTGGTAACCTAAAAGCATGTTTTCTTTCTAACTTGCTTAAACTTTCTTTCGTGGACATACAATGTACATATACCAAGTATGCCCTATGAATAACACTCTAGTGGCCAATAAATGACCAATGTATTTGGCCAAAATCCTTTCCTTTTGATTTAAACGGGCAGTCTTAATCTTGGGTAAGTCACCATTGTCACATTGGCTTGTTGTGCCAACACAGGCTTAACAAAACTATGCATTTCCCAAAGGTTTCTTTCTCTAAGACTTGGGGAAACTTGCTAAACAAAGGCTAACAACCAAGCAAAAGCTAACCAAGGAAGCATAACTGAGCTACCAAACTAGCTCACTTGTCATCCATCCTTTCAATCAGCTGGCCTTCCCAGTATTTCATCCATTGTTTCGGCCGTCCAACCGGTCATGCCAGCATTTCATGTGAATTCCACAACCAGCAGTGAAATGAATAAGAACCTTGTCTCCTGTTAAAGCATCACCACATAAAAGCTATTCGATGTTTTTAATGAGCTGTGTGGGACACAGGGGGGTCTACAACACTCCTGTAGATGTAGAGCCTGTTTAGGTTCATTCTGCTTCAGTGTCGTAGCAGACCAGGAATGTTGGACAGAGAAATGACCACGCTCAGACAAATCTTAGATCTGATCAGTGGAGTTTTTCATTTTAAAGTCTGAGTCCAAACGTCTGACTGGTGCTGTATAGTGAAGCGACATTAGAAACCAGCATATACACTGAATAATTCAGGTAGTTTATTATTCAGAAGATGTGAACATGGAGAGACTGTGTACATTGGTTGGTGTGTAGAACAGCACAAACAAAATGTTCTCCGCTCAGTTCCCGTCGGACACCCACACACAGCTATTTCTACAGTCTGTTAATATAGAATAACAGATGTATTACTGCTCTGTGCAATCAGATATATATATATATATATATATATATATATATATATATATATATATTTTACTCACTAATGTTAAGCTTTTGTGTAAGCCTGTCCTGCTTCAGCGCCTATATGCTAAATAATAGTGAAGGTCAAATGGGACTATTACAGTTGTGCTTAAGCTCGCTGATGCTCAGTGACACTCATGTTGCATCAAGTCTGGATGTAGCTCACACTGTAAGTAGTGAAACAAGCACATTGGCTTGGAGTTTTCAACAGTGAGTGCAGTAAACACTAAATGTTTCATTGGTTGCAGAAGTAGATGCTGGTGGTGGTATTACTCTGCCAAGGCCTTTGCTATCAAAAACTATCAGTATGTCGGCCGTGGAGCAGTGGGAACTGCATTCCCTGAATGATGGAGCTCTATCCAATGCCTTTGGGATGAGCTGTGGTCCAGAACTAATCATACAACCTGACCTCAGTAATGGTCTTGTGGCTGAATGCAATCAAACATTCACAGCAGTGTTCCACCATCTAGTGTAAAGCCTTAGCCAAAGAGTAGAGCAAATGGGGGGGTTAAAAGAAAACTTTGGTTTGAAACAATTCTTGAAATATTCAATGGAAAATTGTCCATTTAGAATTTTTTTTTTCTGTAGTAGATACAGCCAAGCAAGCTCTTCCATTGGTAAGGCTGACTGCATTAGATAAGTTGCCAACATAATTGGGAAGTGACAGAGGAATCAACCAATCACGTTTTGATGTCAAATCAGTGGGGCCAATTTTGTTAGAAAATCCGAGGCCTTCTGGAAGTCCAACTTACATCGCTGATTGCAAGTATGAGTCGTAGTCTAACCAGGTTTCAGTTGTTAGAAATGGGAAAATAAGTCAACGATATGTTAACGTATGTTTCAAACTTGAAATAAAACATGAAATGTCGTTTACAAGCTTTAACTGTCCACTTTTAGAGCAAAAACAAGATCTATAAGCTTTAAATGTCCATGTTTAGTCCAAGTGTAAACCAAAACACCAGTGTTAGCTTGTGCTAACATACTATTAGAAACCCCATAGGGTGCTAGCAGAAAATGGCCTTATCCTAAAAGTGGGTTTATGTTTTTTGACAAAGCTTTGACATTCATGGTTCGAACTTCCAAGCACCAATCAGAACCAATTTGCTGAAAACAATCCTAGGCCTTCTGGAAGCCCTCAATACAGTGTGCAAATATGAAGTGTTAGGTCTCAGTCAGTGATTAGAAATGGAAAACAGCAGCAGTAGCTCTTTAGTGAAGGAGTCACTATAAATGCTAATAAACTTCAAATAAAACATGGAATGTCTTTGAAAGCATCACGTGAACTACCATTAGCTTAAAGGTGAAGTACTGCTAGAATCCCATAGGGCCGCTAGCAGAAATTAGCATTATTATAGAGGTGTTTTTGTGATTTGACATTTATGGTCCAAACTGAAGTCATGGTTCTCCACTGATACCCTTAATTTCAGACGAAACGTTGGATGAGCAGATGCCCACAAACGTCTGGACATATAGTGTCTTTTAGCCTTGAAGCTTCAGTGCAAAACTAAAGCAAATGTCATGCTTTCATTTGTGCACATTTAATTTTGGATCTCTAACAATGTGCTTATGTCTCTTTGTTGTCAGGCACATGAGCTTCTTTGCATCCAAAGCGAGCCCCACGTCGGTGATCCTGGACCTATGGGAAGCCCAGCACTTCCACAGCGGAAACCTCAACCAGCTGGCCGCCGTCATGGCCGAGATCGGCAAGCAGGAGGCCATGATATTCCTGGTGTCTGATGGGGAGTGCTAACACACAAACACACAGACAGACAGAGAGACAGGCAGACAGACAGACTCTCTGAATGGTGGGAGTAGAAAAGGTCCGCACCCTCCATTAATTAATAGAGAAAGGACTAATCTAAGAACAGGGTTTACCCACCATGCAAGGCCATTTGGGTGTGCTGTGATTAACAGTATCCAACTCCCCACTCACACGCAGTGCATTTCTGTCCAGCAACGATGTATAAAAAACACCCCCCCATCTCTAATCACATTTGACCAATAAGTACTTTTTACCCACTGTAGTGTCCGGCACATTTGTATCTGATTTTTTTACTCAAATCTGAAAAGCCAATTGGAACAACAATGGACGAATGAAGGCTAAGCATGCCACACTAAAGCGGTCATCTTTGGGATACTCATTCAGACTTTGTAAATGCATTTAGCAATATGCAAATGTACACTGTATTCTGACAATTTCATGAGGCCACACATTACCTCACAGAGCATTCACGAAGAGTCAAATTAACCTCCTAATAACGTCTGGAGACAACCATGAAGAATTTTGGGCTAAATTCGGGTGGGAATGTAGACTTTCGTGAAGGTGGCGCTCAAAGTAAGGGGTAACAGTGCGCTACTTAACACTGTCTCATGGACATCTACCCTGTCGTTGGCCCATGGATGTAACGTAAGTTAGCATGGCTGAAAAGAGCCCCCAAAAAAACTCTATGTATGTAGAGTTATGTGGGTCATGTATGCGGAGAACACATTAAACTAAACACTGCCTATGTTCTAGGCAATGTTCTAGCTAGCTTTTTTTGTTTGCGTGATTATACTCTGGACGTTAAAAGAGAACCGACTTGAATTTGGGGGTGTTTTCAGAGGGGGCGCACCCTTGTTAGCCACAAGCCAGTACCAAAACTTTAACAAGTCGTCCCCACACAAGTATTCTCATTACGTCTGGTCCCATGAAACTACGTAAAAAGTAGAATATGTAAGATTTTCCATGACCAAATTATATAAATACAAAAAGCTTCTGACAAGAATTAAGTTAATGTCCTCTAACTGAGTAGAGTGGTGGTGAAATGAGGTTTTATGCCAGTCATGCTAAATAGCTAATTAGCTAAACTACTTGGCAAAGCATTACTTACTGTACCGTTAATGAGGTCAAATCGATCAAATGATGAAAACTGTGTTTTGTGAGAGCCATCAGCTTTTTTTCGGACCCGCTTCAGGCACCCGTGATGCGGCTCCAATGCGATTCAAAGCCATAATCAGAAATTCCCGAATGCAATGACGCTAAATGATAACGTCCTCAAGTGTGTGGCTAATGTATGCAGGCTCTCTAGAAACGTAGCTGAGGTTTCAGTAGAAATGCGTTCAGGGACTTTCTTTTTGTTTTCACCCAGCAGTCTGTGCTGCTGTTTGCTCCTGTGTAGTCTGAGCAACTGATGTTTTGGCAAGAGAGGGTTGGAAACGCATCTCACCTTCTGTTAGGACTGTGGCCACAACCGCCCAAAGCTTGCCTTTAAGATGTCATACACAGTCCTCTTGATTTTCACATGATTCACAGAAATCAATCATTATAGTCGAGAATGCTCTAGAAGAAAGATTTTTACCTTAAGATGCAATACTACCAAATGTTTCACAGCCATTCGTTTTCTTACTTAACATGGGTTTTTTCAAAAAGCCATGTGGCTTTAGGGCATTCTGAACTGGTAAGACGAGGCGTGTTTCCCAGTGTCATGACTAAGGGGCAGATCTACTAGCTGTTTGCGCGGCTGTGAACTCTCTTTTGGAGTTAAAAAGTGTGTCGTGATTTAATTTAGTCATCATCCTGCCCATAAACTCCAGGTCTGAGCTGATTTCTCCATGAGAAAAATGAACGAACTTTCAAAATCTGCTGTTATCACGGCCTGATGTTTTGCCATCCTCCTCATTTTGATGGATCCTCTCAATTACTTGGTCGCAAAGGAGGTGAAATCTGACTGTTACATGCCGCCAGCTAACACTGCTGTGTACTGAACTGACATCAGAAGACTGGTAACCTCACCAAAATACCCCACACACACCAGCAAGCTTTGTCAGTTGTGGTTGTTCAGTTGCTTTGGAAGTTTTACCCTACAGTTTGAGTAGCTGGTGTTGGTATAAATCAGTAAGTGCGTTTGCATGCACTTAATAATCCGATAACTGAAGAAAATCAGATTTTGTCAGTAATCCGATCAATGCGTTTACATGCACTTGGGTAACCAGATAATGGGGAAAAAACAGGCCTATATGAGTCAGGCAGTAATCAGATTTCTGTTTTACAACCAGCCAATAAACTCAGAAGACATGACAAACTTCATGACGCAATTTTTTTTAAAACTTTGTGCTACTTGAAAATATAAACATACATCATCTAGAAGATAAAGAATATTTAAATCTTTCATTTAGCCAAGGACATAGTTGGTTTTAGCGTCGCTCCAAAAGTGTTTTGCTCCCATCTTGTGGCAATGCTGCTCGTTTATTTCCGGTACCGCGGTCAGTTTTTGCACATGCGCCGATTGAGACATCCGAAAGAAATCAGAGTAAGAGTTTACATGCACTGAGAAGTCAGATTGCTGAGCTAAAATCCAGCTTTATCGGAATTCTAGATCTTACTTCGATCTAAGAAATCGGAGTATGCTGTTTACACGACCACTTGAATAATCACAACTGCAGAAATCTGATTATTGATATGTATATGATCGGATTATTAAGTACATGTAAACGCACTCAGTGTTGAAGTTTGATAGTAGATTTACTTCCATGTGACGTCAATTCAATGTGCAGCATGTTAGCTTGCTTGGAGCATATATACAACATTTATACTTAATATTTATACTTAAACACTAAACAAACTCATAATTGGCGAAACATGCACATACGACAAAATATATATCTGGTTTGGAACTGTTTACCACAGGATGCAATAGTGGTGATTTTCAAAAGCCCCATTCATTTCTCTTACAAAAATCCAGCTTAGACCCAGAGTTCCTAATATGGGCAGGACACCAACCACACATGACTTCATCGGTTCAGCGCACACACATTTATGGGAATTTCCCTTTCAAAGCGCAAAATACTGGGAGGAGATTAGAAAGTATCATCTATTCTGATTAGTCATGACTGATGGTGAATTATGATTTGTGAAAATATTGAATGCCTCTGAAAATCCTCTTATTTTGGTGTTACCATGGAAGCCCTTTTAGAAAAAAAATGGCTTGTTTTTTGCTCTCGTTTTTGGCAGTACATTAAATTTGAAGCTTGAATTTTGTGACGAAATCGACAATTTTTTTTAAAACAATGTTTTCTTAATCAACTCAATTATTTCGACATACTAAGTCAAAGTCTCAAAAAATGTGTAATTTTTTTTCACTTAATAAGTCAAATTATTGAGAAAACAAGCCATTATTTTAAGATGAAGAGTCAAGCTTAGGACATATATGCTGCTGGAAACAGGCATCCCTACAAAAATGATGTGAGCAAAACAGCAGACAGAATTATAAAGCTACATCTTTGCTCACACATGAAAGTTCTCGGAAGATAAACCCACTAAATTGGCCATCTTTACCAGCACAAAGTCTCCAGGCTGCCAGCAATTAGCGCCTCTTTTAGTAAATCTGCCCCTCAATCTGATTTCAGTTCCATGAGGGGAAGTTAAAGTGAAACACTATGTGAGAATTCTTTGAATGAGATGGTGAAGGCCTACAAGAAACAAAGCTCCAGATTAGAAACCGTAACCAACCATTAACCCACGGAATCAGAAGCAGGACATGAAGATGTGTAATTTAGTCTCCTTGTATTCCCCCCAGTAATTTCCAGGGTGATGTAACTGACCCCACGAATGTGTGCAGGACAGTTTCATGATTGTCAGTTATTTTGAATGTGAAAGGTTTTATCTCTAGTTGCGGTCCACTAAATGGCCTCACCTTAATCTATGACGGTCACAAGTGCGTCTGGAAAATTTCAGCTGTGGTGGCACGTCGAAGTGGGCATATTTCACTACACTAACAACCCGGAACGTATGTATAATATAAGGTTTCGAGCTTTTAGCGGGAACCTTATGCTTTTGAAATGGTTCCTGAGTTTGATTTCCTGATTGCATTTACTTAAATCATGTACTTTTTTACTTTCGTCTAAAAAATTCATGTTGTGTATATATATAAAAAAAACCTTTTCTATTCCAGTTTTGATGCTGGCACTACATGTAACATCTCTGGAAGTTGGTAACCAAAGTTTATGAGCCATCTGAGACAAATTTTGTTGGCATCCTTTAACATTGTCCACATCGTTCTCTGGTTATCTGTGCAAATATCCACAAAATACCACCCAACAATGCAGTCAACTTGCGAAAAATCAACCAATCAAGCAAATCAATCAAAGTCCATTTCTGATATGAATTTAATTTCAAAAATGTAAATTTTAAATTGTGCAGCATTTTAATATTGAACATTTCACTGGTAACGCAGTTTAAATATTTATTATATAGCACTTTGTAAGTAAATGTAAATGATATTTTAATATTGAGCTGAAAAAAAAGAAAAAAAAAAAAAACTAAGTTTAAACATGAACATTTCAGCATCATCTTTATGATGTTAAACACACCAGTATCAGTAACTTTCACTGAGACTGAAGCTGAAATATGAGAAGGAACACTTTCACTAGTGAACATGATCCCTCAGTGAACAGACTCACTTAATATGGAGTGAAAGTGTTTAAATGAGCAGAGCAGGACTGTCTGTTCACAACACTCACCTCAAAAGGTTTTCCAGGTGTGAAAGGGAAGAAAGAATCGTCTTCTACTATTGAGCACCAACGATTCTGAATCAAGGCGGCCATCACCATCAACTGCCTCCCATGGTCATTGAAGCGAGGGTTGAAATGAAAGGCTACATGTTTGCCTTTACAGATGTTAATGGCGAATCTAATGGGAGAGTGGAAGAAAAAATGACTTTTTAAACCATTTCATTCATATTTATTACATATCTAATTGCATTATTTAATATACTTTTACTTGTCAACATCTTCTTTCGGTGCTCCGTAGATGGTGATGAGTGTTTTGTCTTTGAGTCCTTCAGGCAAAACCTGTATATATGGAACTCTTAGGAAGTAGCCCTCTAGAAAGAAAGCAGGAGAGAATAAAGTGTTGAAAATGAAAGGATAAATTCTGCTCTTCCTGCTCTGTGAGCTGCACACATCACTCTTACCAAAGCTGAATAGGTAATGACATTGGGCTTTCTTTAAAGTGTCCAGTTGACACTCCTTCAATGGTCAATGAATGTCATTTTTACTTTTCATGATTATTTATGAGATTTTAGTGAAAAAAAGAGAATTGTGTATTGGAGCTCTGAGTTGAGCTTTCAGTTACTAAAGTATCTGGATCATTTTCCAACAACTTCCCCTAAAGCTGGCAGGTCACATCATGGATTTCCATGAAAGAGAAATCAAGCAGCCTACTTCAACAATGCAACCATGTAAAATGACAAAGCTGTGCTAAAATAATTATTTACTTTTTTACTATTTACTTCCATTACGCAAAACCTAACCTGACCAACCTTACCCAATCTTAACCCTCACCCTGGCCTTCATCCTAACCCTAAACTTAACCCAAAACCTAACCTGAACTCTGGCCCTAATCCTAACTCTAACCTTAATCTCAACCCAAAACCTAACCCTATTCCTCATCCTGGCCCTAATCCTGACTCTAAACTTAACCTCAAACCAAAACCTAATCCTAACCCTCACCCTGGCCCTAATCCTAACCCTAACCTTAACCTCAACCCACATCCTAATTCTAACCCTCATATGTTTTTGACATGCTACTGAGAGACATGCTACCTGAGTGCAAAAGAACCACTCTAAATGAAGTGTCACCCAAACTCCAGATGGTTTATATAGTTGTATTATGAAATATGAACATTCTTGGCCATGAAATCAGCAGCTTGGCTAAGAGCTGCTGCACATCTTCAATTGGAGCGTATGGCATGATTCCTTTGTCAGGGCAATATTTACACAGAGTTGTATGCACCGGGCAAAATGAGCCATGATGAAAACAAAATATGTATCCAAAATGCAACAGACATTACCAGTAAAATAAGGTTGGAGCAAAACTGGATGCAGATTCATCTACTAACTGTACACAGAACCTCCTACTAACTGTACGCAGGATCATCTAGTAACTGTACACAGGATCATCTAGTAACTGTACACAGAACCTCCTACTAACTGTACACAGGACCATCTATTAACTGTACGCAGGATCACCTACTAACTGTACGCAGGATCATCTACTAACTGTACACAGGATCATCTACTAACTGTACACAGAACCTCCTACTAACTGTACACAGAACCATCTATTAACTGTACACAGGACCTCCTACGAACTGTACATAAGACCTCCTACTAACTGTACACAGAATCATCTACTAACTGGACAGAGAACCTCCTACTAACTGTACACAGGATCATCTATTAACTGTACGCAGGATCACCTACTAACTGTACGCAGGATCACCTACTAACTGTACGCAGGATCACCTACTAACTGTACACAGGATCATCTACTAACTGTACACAGGATCATCTACTAACTGGACAGAGAACCTCCTACTAACTGTACACAGGATCATCTATTAACTGTACGCAGGATCACCTACTAACTGTACACAGGATCATCTACTAACTGTACTCAGGATCACCTACTAACTGGACAGAAAACCTCCTACTAACTGTACACAGGATCATCTATTAACTGTACGCAGGATCACCTACTAACTGTACGCAGGATCACCTACTAAATGTACACAGGATCATCTACTAACTGTACACAGAATCATCTACTAACTGTACACAGGATCATCTAACTGTACACAGGATCATCTACTAACTGTACACAGGATCATCTACTAACTGTACACAGAATCATCTAACTGTACACAGGATCATCTACTAACTGTACACAGGATCATCTACTAACTGTACTCAGGATCATCTAACTGTACACAGGATCACCTACTAACTGGACAGAAAACCTCCTACTAACTGTACACAGGATCATCTATTAACTGTACGCAGGATCACCTACTAACTGTACGCAGGATCACCTACTAACTGTACACAGGATCATCTACTAACTGTACACAGAATCATCTACTAACTGTACACCTTCAGATTTTGTGGCTTTGTTTTCTTCATTAGTGTGAGACCATCATGGTGCAGTATCAGAGTCCAGAGGAACAGAAGAACACTGTAATCTTTGTTTTGGAGCTCAGAACTGGGAATGTCAGTATATTGTTGCTGTGAATGAGCAGCTTTGGAACAGCAGACCCTCCTCAATGCTGTTGATGTCTGTTTCACGTCTTTTTGTTGTTTTAATGTCCTCACTGTGGAGTTTGAATAATTCTTAAAATATGAATGGTACAACTTATATCAAACATTAAAAGTAAAACAGTAAAATCCAACCATATAAAACTTGTATTATGGAGTTTGGGCATCAGAACAGACCAAATGTTCCAGGATGGATAGTCTTGAGTACAGCATTTTTAGAGTGTACAAACACTTTATAATGTGTTAACAATGCATAATGCAGAACAAAAATGTTTATAATCTGTAATGGGTTGTTATAAACATTCATTAATGCATTATAATGTCATGAATGTGTTTAGAGTTTTGTACAGACATTATTCACAGAAACTGTTACCTACATTTTTTGTACGATTACATACCTACGTGAACGTATTTGAGGTCAACTCCTTCAATTAAGATGTGTGTCATTTTCTCAAGATCCATGATGCGATGTGCATAATGCAGCACAAGATTGCTGTCAGTTTCAACTCTGTATCCAGAGGCTGTGCACAAAATCTTGATCTGACAAACAGACACGAGATTTGACTCAAACTGAAGGATCTGTTTAAGGGTCCACAGTCCAGTTCCTTAGTCTCTCTACAGATCTGACACAAGTTTCACTGGAGAATTCATAGTAGAATCTGAAGAGCTTCTAATATATATTTAATACATTATAGTAGATACTGAATTACTCATAGTACTTCATAAGAGTTATTCAATAATTTATAGCAGTTACATAATAAATAAGATTAGTTACAGAATAGGCAGACTGCAGTTTGAGGGGTTAATCTCAGTGTTTTTGAATCAAAAATATGTAACTCATTAATTTCTCTGTCATCCTGCCAGTTAGATTAACTTTAATATTTCATCATCATCATCCCTTTGACGCTAAACACACCAGTATCAGTAACTTTCACTGAGACTGAAGCTGAAATGTAAGAAGGAACACTTTCACTAGTGAACATGATCCCTCAGTGAACAGACTCACTTAATATGGAGTGAAAGTGTTTAAATGAGCAGAGCAGGACTGTCTGTTCACAACACTCACCACAAAAGGTTTTCCACGTCTGAAAGGGAAGAAAGGAATGTGTCTTTCCTCAGGGCCCCAATCACCATTGATTCTGGTGGTCCGCACAATCGCCTGCCCCCCACTCTCATTGAAACGAGGGTTGAAATGAAAGGCTACATCATGACCTTTACAGATGTTAATGTCGAATCTAATGGCAGACAAGAAAACAATTCACTTTTCTTAACCATTTTATTTTTGGATCTATCATTCTATGTGTATTATTTTTATACTCTTACCTTTCAACATCTACTTTAGGCGCTCCATGGACAGTGATGAGCATTTGGTCTATGACTCCTTTAGGCAGAATCTGCACATATGGATCTTTTAGGAAGATTTTTCCTAGAAGGAAAGCAGAGGAGAGAATAAAGTGTTGAAAGGACGAGTTCTGTGCTTCCTGCTCTGTAAGCTGCACCCATCTCTCTCACCAAAGCTGGATAGATAATGACATTGAGCTTTATTAACACTTCTTGTTGCTTAATACAGTCCACTTGACACTTCTTCAATGGTAAAATCTTCACTTTTCTTGTTAGTGAAGTTTTAATGACAACAGTTATTGCAGCTGAGTTGAGCTTTCAGTTACTAAGCTAAACTAAAGTTCCAACAACTTCCCCAAAACCTGGCTGTTCACATCATAGATGTCCATGAAAGAAAAGTCAAGCAAAATCAAGCCTTTTCATTAATTAATTTAGTTAGGATTTGACTCATCAGGTGACTGAACTGAGCTGATCTCATATTTTTAAATGCGATGTTTCAATTACTTTTCAAACTTAAGGTAGTTTCAGTAGTTTTATGAAAGAAGTTCAGCTGCTTGGCTAAGAGATGCTGCACAGCTTATCTACTTTTGCTTATCTACTAACTGTACACAGGACCATCTACTAACTGTACTCAGGATCATCTACTAACTGTACACAGGACCATCTATTAACTCTACACAGGATCACCTACTAACTGTACTCAGGATCATCTACTAACTGTATACATGACCATCTACTAACTCTACACAGGATCACCTACTAACTGTACACAGGATCACCTACTAACTGTACACAGGATCATCTACTAACTGTACACAGGACCATCTACTAACTCTACACAGGATCACCTACTAACTGTACACAGGATCACCTACTAACTGTACACAGGATCATCTACTAACTGTACACAGGACCATCTACTAACTGTACACAGGATCACCTACTAACTGTACACAGGACCATCTACTAACTGTACACAGAATCATCTACTAACTGTACTCAGGATCATCTACTAACTTTACACAGAATCATCTACTAACTGTACACATGACAATCTACTAACTGTACACAGGATCATCTACTAACTGTACACAGGATCATATACTAACTGTACACAGGACCATCTACTAACTGTACACAGGATCATCTACTAACTGTACACAGGACCATCTACTAACTGTACACAGGATCATCTACTAACTGTACACAGGATCATCTACTAACTGTACACAGCACCATCTACTAACTGTACACAGGACCATCTACTAACCATACACAGGATCATCTACTATTTCTTTACGATTTTGTGGCTTTGTTTTCTTCATTAGTGTGAGACCATCATGGTGCAGTATCAGAGTCCAGAGGAACAGAAGAACACTGTACTCTTTGTTTTGGAGCTCAGAACTGGGAATGTCAGTATAATGTTGTTGTGAATGAGCAACTTTGGAACAGCAGACCCTCCTCAATGCTGTTGATGTCTGTTTCACGTCTTTTTGTTGTTTTAATTAGCTGACTGAGGAGTTTGAGTAATTATTAAAATATCAACGGTAAAATCACACATGTATCTTTTAAACCGCTTATCCTTCTGGGTCGCGTGGGGGGGGGCGGGGGCTTATCCCAGCTGTCATTGGGCGGAAAGCCAGATCTAATGGCAGACAAGCCTCCCTCCAGCCTGGCTGAAACTACAGCCAGCAGGGCTGCCCAGGACTCCAATTCCCAGAACTTCTTGCTGCATCACATGACTATGGACTCTTATCAGCCCAACTATCAGTGCTCCTCATCTCCAGACTACTGATTACTCTCACACCTGTTCCTTATTTCCTTTGTTAGTTAGTTTAGTATTTAAGCCCGCCCTTTAGGATAGGTTATTTGAGAAGTATCATCTCCTTGTTGAGCAGAACGAGTGTTATTTCTGATGTCTGTTTTCATCTGTTTTGTGTATGAGCCATATCTTGTTTATGATGGTGATCATTAATAACTTGATCTTTGCGCTTTTGTTTGGATCACTGGTTTTCGACTTTTGGCTTCTGTTTTTCGGCTGTGCTTTTGGATCAAACCTTTGATATTAAAGTTCATAACTCAAGCCTTGTCTGCGAGCATCTGGTTCTGTCTGCCACCGTTACAGGATACTTCACCATCATGCAGATGGTGGACATCGAGGCAGTTCAGAAGATCCTGGGCGACCAAGGTCAACTTCTGGGACATCTTCAGCAGGTATTGGCCGGTGTCACTCAGTCAGTCGGAGATTTAACAACAACAACAAACTGAACAACAAACAAGCTCACTCAACTCCTGACTGGTATCAAGGACATCACCTCACAACTGAGTAATCTCTCCATCGTGAGTAGTGACTTGGTTTTTCCCGTGAGTAAACCTAACACATTTGATGGATCTCTCAAAAAATGTCTTGGTTTCCTCCTTCGATGTTCTTTTGCAACTTACTAGGTAGTACTCACCGAGCTAAAATAGCATTTGTAATTTCACGTCTTTCAGACAAGGCATTAAAATGGGCTACTGCTGAATGGTCTTGTGCAGGCTGAAACAAGGCAATCACTCAGTTCCAGTTTCAGCTCCTGTTCCAGCTCCCACTCCAGCTCCCACTCCCGGTTCAGTTCCAGCTCTGTTTCCAGTTCCAGTTTCAGGACCTGTCACGCCTCCCTGCGGCCTGGCTGAAACTATAGACAATGGGGCCTCCCAGGACTCCAATTCCCAGAACTCCTTACTTCAGACTTCTGTCTGCCAACATTACAGGACCCTATAAATTCTACCTACAGAAGTGCCAAAATTACTTCAGTAGGTGTTTTCAACCTTGGCTTCAGTGACCACTGCCCTATTGGATGTGTGAGGAACATATGCACAAAAAAATTGTGTCTCAGATAGCAGTTATAAGAAATTAAAAAAAAATAAATCAACAAGGTTTTCTAAATGACCTATCACTCAGGTTATTTATTGCACATTAGAAATCATAGATATCAGCTTGACACTAAAGTCGATAAGCATGCCCCTTTTAAAATTTTTAGAATTCAGGATAGATGTAGTCTCTGCTTCACTTTAAGCAAAAATTAAGCCTGGGGACCTGGGGACAGAGACCACTGTCTTACATTTATTCAGCTGACATGCTAAATCTAACTTTATCTTCATTTATTTAAAAATATTTCAGCAAGTTCTGGAAGACAGTTAATTAACTCAGCGGTAATTAAGGACACTTTCTAACCTACATCTCACTTTATGACCATCAAAGACTTGATCAGAAAGAGCTGTACCAAGCCTTTAATGTGCATTTCTCACCTGCAGGATATTTATTTGAAAATCTAGATTTGGAACCTCCTCTTCACACAACAGATGTAACCATGACTGTAAGCCATACTCACTTCACTTTTCACCCACTCTCTTCTTACATGGTTCCTATAGTTCTTAGTGCTGTTCTTCTGTCTCAGTAGCAATGGAACAATTGCAGTGTTCTTTTAATGCTTCACAAATTGGCTATTAAGATTAAGTGACTGTTATTACTCACACAACGGGCAAATTTCACTTCCACAATCTAACCCATCTGTGCAGTGAAACACCACATACACACTAGTGAACACACACACTAGAGTGCAGTGAGCACACTTGCCTGGAGTGGTAGGCAGCTCTATCAACAGCACCCGGGGAGCAGTTGGGGGTTAGGTTTCTTGCTCAAGGACACCTCAGTCATGTACTGTCGACTCACGGGATCGAACCAGCGACCTTCCAGTCGCAAGCTGGTTCCCTAACCTCCAACCAATGACTAAACTAGTCATAAAACTAGTTAATTACAGCTATAAACTAGTTTATTACAGCTATAAACTAGTTTTATATGCAGAAAACAATTCATTTTATGCCGTTTTCACAGTTTCCAACATTAATTAGAAAAGCTGAGATGCTGAAAAGCGTAGTGTTATGCATTCCTCTACCGCTGGTTCATTAATAAATTCCACTTCCCAGAACTCCCTGGGAGGTCATGTGATTGTGGCACCACCACCAACAACAAATCGATGAATACAACTTGTTCAAAACCTTAGAGTTCTTACTAGCTAGAGTACTAACTCACACAAAAAAGGGAGAAATATAACATCTGTTTTAGCTTCATTACACTGATTGTCTCTCTCTTTCAAAATTGATTTCTTTTCAGAATCCTATACTGGTTTATGAAACTCTTAATGGATTATCACCTACATACATATCTGAATGCAGAATGTGCTCCAATTTGTGCTTTAAGATCATCAAGTGCTGCTGTATTGAATGTTCTCAGGACGAAGTACTGAAAGACAGTGATGCAGTGTTCTGTTCATCAAAAATCTGGCACTCTTTATCAATTAATATTCACCAGGCTTCATCTTTTACCAGCTTTACAAAATCAGCTGAAAATGTTTTTTATTTCACTTAACATTCTGTTAAATTCCAGTTTTTATAGCAAATATTATATTTTTCTTTTTTTATTCTTATTTCTCATTCTGTGTACAGTGTATTTCTGTCAATTGTTTCTATTTTGCTTTTTACTGTTTTACTTACGTTATTTTGATATTTTTTTATTTTATTGTGAAGCACTTTGAGCTGCATTTTTATGTATTCAAAATGTGCTATATGAAAAAAAATATATATATAATTGTTATTCAGCACTTTGGAAATCAGAACCCTGAAGGGATCCATTACTGAAAGAGTCACTGAAAATAAGTCAACTTGGTGTATGAAGATCAATAACCTCGCAAATTGAGAATTGAGACCAAAACTGGGGCTACTGTATCGACACAAAATGTGTTTTATGGTGCACATCAGGAAAAGGATTGTTGAAGAAACACTATTATTTACTCTGGATTACAGTGATGTGATGTACAAATATGCACCCTAAAACCTTTACATTCAGTCTATCACTCAGCTCTGAGATCCATCACCCCTACAGCACTCATCACTGCTCACTCTATGGAGTAGGCTGGTTCTCTCTGGCTGTACGTCAGGAAACACTCTGGCTTTTGTTTATTTATAAAGCACTTATTGGTTATATGTCACCATATATCACATCTATGCTCAATGCAAATAACAGAAATGATCAAACAGGTGCTGAGAGCTTTTACTGAACTGTGAAAATGTGCTTTTAGCTGCAGAGCGACAACCAGCTGGACTTTATTACAGGAAACTCTAAAACTCTAAAACGACCATTTTAAACTTTTCATCTCTAACCACCTCCACTCAGCCTGCAACCAGTACTTGATCTTAACTGGTACCTATTTGAGTTTGGTTTGTTTTACTGTTTTTGGTTTTTATATATTTATTTATTTTTAAGTATTTCTTAATAATTATGTTTATATTTACCTATTTTAAATTTGGTAATGATGGCTAGGTTATGTTTCATTTTATCTCTTTTTACTGGTTTGATATGTTTTACCTGTTTATTTCAATGCTTATTACTCTTTTCATTCCTTGCTCTCTGTTCTAAAGCTCGGCTATTTTGTAAATGAGGGTCAACCTTGAGGTACTCTGAGTTTAAATAAAGGCTGATTTGATTGATTGATTGATTGATTGATTGGTTGATAATGGACAGTACCATAAGTGCATTTTCAGGGACCCACCAAATTTTGATTTTGTGTCTTTCAGGAGGTCCAGATGCTTAATTGGGGACCACCCCACATTTCTCCCCTTGGTTTTTATCACGATTTCATGAAATCATGTCTTTTCTTATCTGTAAGTTATTAGAACATACCATCCCTATCGCTAAGGTGTTCAACGATGTCTTCCAGGATGTTCCATGGGGACAGCATATTCTACGACACTCCTGTTTCTCCTGTGTAAGTAAACACAGCCACGTGTGTGAGCACCAATCAGCTCACAGGACTGGTTAAAGACCGGGGATCCAGAAGAACCACAGAAGAAAGAGGAACTGTAGGTGATCTGGGTGTCATGGTGTTGCCAGTTCTCTGTGACAGATTTCTGGGTAATTATATGGATGTAATCTGGGTTCTGATCAAGGTGCTTCTGAACAGACTGATCTTGTTCTTCTTTTTGAATGATGAAGCAGAAGTCCAGCTTCTTGGTCCTGCGAATTATTTCCTCCTTCATTTCCACCTCGGTGCCTTTGCTGTCTGGTTCTTCATGATCAAATACAGCAGTGACAGGGCGTGATAGCGTCATTGTGAATGGGTCATATTCCCCAGTAACGTGCGTTAGTGAGGATGTAGTTTCCAGTGAACAGAAATCCAGTCCCTAGTGGAGGCTAGGTTTCCTTTATTAATGTCATTGCTGTAGATTTGGCAGACACACTTCACACCTAGCCACAATACCTTTGTTATACCTGTGTCTGTATAAAGCCTCTACTTTTCTGTTGTGCTCCCCAGCTTCAGAGCTTTCTCTCCAGTGGTCATCAGTATTTGCGAATAAACTACATTTTCATCAATCCATGACAGGTCTGTGTTTATTGTAAAGTTCCCAAGAAACTGCAGGAGGTCTAGCGAACTTTAGAGGCCCAACTGTCCACATTAGGGTTTGTGCTTAATGAGCGATACATATATATATATATATATATATATATATATATATATATATATATATATATATATTGCCTTCTAAGGTCATTAAATGTACATAAGAATGAGTTGTATGTACAATACATGTTTGGCCTGCTCCTCTCAATTTGTGTCAAATTAAAATTGTAAACAGACTAAACCTTCATCTTATGTCATCATCTGAGTTTGTTTTGACTAGTGATGGAAGCCACAGCAACACAGGTAGAGACAATATTCACACCCAGTATGAGTTTTCTAACAAATTTCAGAGCAGAAGTTCAGTAAACTTTGAAAAGGAAAGTGCAGATCACAAACACATTCATTCAAAACAGTAACATACTCTGCATAATCTACATTACCAAATCCTGTAAAAATATTAAATACTCACTGTTTTTGGCCGTGGTTTGCAGTGGATTTCCAAGAGTAATGTTCTCCACTCCAACTGTAACTAAATAAATAAGGCCAGTGTATCATTTAAAACAGAGACATTCAATTCAGCTTGTTTAAATCTTTTCTTTTGGCTTTGAAATCATGAAACAGGTTATTTGAAACAATAATATATAAGCTACATGGGCATCATGTGACATTTCAGGGAACAGGAGGTTCAGTGAATGATTAAAGTTTAAGCCCCTGTTACACTCAGAGTTAAAGCAGTGAGAACCCTCATTAATGTTGTAACAGAAAAGGAAAAGATGGACTCTGAAGTTCCATCCACAGCTTCCTCAGCTAAGATTTGCTGTCTGCTTCACAATCAGACATGTTTTTCTTCTTTATGCTCTTTACAGTTCAAGCTTGGCCTGATTCTAGATGTTTTCCAAAAACAAGGAATATTTTTATTGAAATGATATTTTCTACCTCAATATCAGTTTAAAACCCCTGAATCTCTAAAACCCATCAGAGCTGTTGTTACTGGGAGAAACAGTTTAATACCTTTCAGTAACATTTAGTAACACTTTACAATACTGACTCACAAATAAGCATGTATTAATACTTAACTAATGCTTTCATCACAGTGAATTACTGCATAAATTAATACTAGCATATTTAATATTTTATTACAATTAAATATTAACAAATATTTACATCATCATTAAGTAATGCTGAGTGTGGATAAAGCAGACTGTATATAAATATAAGAAGTAATGATACTGAAATATAAAACATATAGGATTTGAAATGATTATGTTGTTGCATATTGAGTTAACATGATGATGCATACTTTTCTTTTTGCAGTGCAGTTAGAAATAGGTTTGTTGATCATGTGACACACTGGTTTGCCTTTAGCAGATTACATTATTAAAACATTCTTTAATAGTGTGAACATGCTTACTACCTTTTTGAGAGAAGATATGGTGTCATTAGTGCATCATTTCAAAGATGCATAAATATGTTAAGTTAAGAAATTTGAAAATGTATCATCACATACTCACTTTTTTCCTGCTCCATCATTACAGATTAAGTAAACACACAGCACAGCATGTGATCATCAGAGCTCAACCACAATAAAAAACTGTAGTATTGTATTTTGTTAAACATGTTTAATTTGCTGCATACGAGCCATTGATGTTCCTGCAGACTATTGTAATGTTTACTGGCCTATAATATGCATTAACCTACATCATCTCCAAACAGATGTTATGCATTATAGAAAAGATCTTAATTAATATATCAGGTCATGGTATTAATTAACAGAATGGGTTAAATATGAATGGCTCTGACTTTTTTATTAAAGGCTCTGACTGATTCTTTATTAAAGTACACACTTCATTATTTCCTGATGTGTAAAGTATTAGTCTGTGCATTAATTCACTGTGATTAAAGCGTTAATTAAGCATTAATAGATGCTTATTTGTGGACCAGATTTGTAGAGTTTAAACCTCAATTTTATACACATTAATGTTAATCATCAAATAAAGTTAATTAATTAATTAAACATAGTTTAACATAGTTCAGAGTTAACACAAAATATTTTCAGTGCAATTTACTGAGCTGATGCTGCTGCATTAAAAAACAGTTACTGTGGTTACAAAAAATCTGGCTGTGTTAAATTTTAGTTTAGATGAACAAAATCAACATTTTTATATCAATTCACAGCTCAAAAACACTTCAGGATCAGCTTCTACTCTCTACACTGCAGCTGCTGAGCAGTGAATCTTTACATGTTGAATTAAAAACACTGGATCTGCTGTTTCATTCTGGTTGTAGTGTTCTGTAAAAGCTGAGCTCCACATCTGCTTCATTTCACTGCAGCAGTTACTACAAACACATCTAATGAATGTAAGAAGATTTAATTTACCTTGATTATGAATGGATGGTAATGAGTGACATATATCCAAACTTTCTGTCCATTGCCTTCTAAGGTCATGAAATGTACACCTGAGTGAGGTATCTGTATGGTGTGTGTGTTAGAAGCAGGCAGAGGAGCACAGACTTTGATCTGCTCCTCTTTATGTAATTTAATATACCTGATGTAAAGTGAAAACCAATAATGCCTTAGTAATGCATTACAAACATCTATTAAACATTACTAAAGGTTTAAAAGGTCTTGTTCAGTGAATTTAATATACCTGATGTACTTGGGGACAGTGTGGATTGGAAACAGCATGAGCTTCACTTTGGCAGCTTACTGCTAATCACCTGATGCTGATGTGGTGTGTTTGCTGTGAATTTGGACAGTGATCATAGTTTCTTATAGACATGGAATTCATAGAAAGCACCAAGGTTCCTTGTACAATTACATACCTATGTGAACATGTTTGAGGACAACGTCATGATGAATGTGGAGGTGTGTTATCTGGTCAAGCTCCTTCATACGATGTACATAATTCAGCAAATGCCTGTCATCAACTTCAACTCTGTATTCAGAGGATGTGCACAAAATCTTGATCTGAAAAACAGAAAAAAGTTCTCTCAAACTGTAAGGATCTGTATGAGGGTCCGGTTCTTTACTCTCTCTACAGATCTAACACATTAGATTCACTGAATAACACAATAGCACAATCTGAGGAGCTCATAGTAGACGCTCAGTTACAGTGCTGAGTATCTACTATAATTACAGTAACTACATTATGCTACATTATACAGTGCTGTGAACCGTTTGTGAAGTTTATCATTTTGTGAATTTCTACAAAAATGTGACTTAAAATATCATCAGATTTTCATTGAACTCAAAACAGTAGATAAACATAACAAAAATTAATAATAAACAAATAAACAATTATTTTTTTGATACATTTATTGAACAAAGTTAAACATTAAATTGTCTTTGTTGGCAAACGTTTGTGAACCTATAGGATTATCAGTTTAATATAGGGGGATAATGAGGGTCAGGGTGTTCAATCATTTGGTTGACAATCAGGTGTGAGGGGAGCTGAACCTGCTCCATTTAGAAAACTTAAACCTGAATATTTACCATAAAAGTCTTGTCTTTACACTAACATTTGTTAGTGCCTGCTGTGTCTCAGTCAAAGGAGATTTCTCAGGTCATTTCTCATTAGGCTGGAAAAGGTCCCACAACCATTCCTGATGAGTTTGGACTACATCAGTCTACTACCAGGCAGATAGTGTGCAAGTGGAGAAACTTTAACACCACTGTTACCCTTCCTTGGAGTGCTCTTCCAACAAAAATGACTCCAAGATTAAGGCCTAAAAAATTCTGGGAGATCACAAGGAACCCCAGGGTAACTTCTGAGGATCTTTATGGCTTAAATGCAAGATATTTGGCAGAACTGAACACTGCATTCCAGAATAAAAACCTCATTCCAACTTTGAAACATGGTGGTGGCAGCATCATTGTTTGGAGCTATTTTGCTGCTATTGGACCAGGACAGCTGGCCATCATTTGATGGAGTTATGAATTGTGATTGTATCAAGAAATTCTACAGGAGGATGTTAGGTTGTCTATCCGGGAACTTTACCTCAACAGAAGGTGGGTCCTGCAGAAAAACAAAGAACCTAAAACCACCAATTAGTGTACAAAGAATGGTGGAAGCAGAAGTAATGTTGCATTTGGAATGGCTCATCAAAATCCAGAGCTAATCCAGTAGAAAAGTTGAGGCAGAACCTGAGGTGTGGCATTCATGCAAGAAAGCCCACCGACATAACAGAGTTAACGCAGTTCTGTAAGGAGGAACGGGCCCAGAGTCCTCCAAGTCAATGTGAGGGCTGATCAACATTTATAGGAGCCGTTTGGTTGAAGTCATTGCTGCTCAAGGGGGTCAAACCAGTTCCTGAAAGCAGAGGTTCTCATACTTTTGCCAATAAAGAAATGTATTGTTAGATACCTTAGTTCAGTAAATGAAAGAAAAACTGTACACTTTTGCGTTATTAGTTTCATTTGGTTCTCTTCATGTAGTGCAGGGGTGTCTAATCGTATCCACAGAGGCCCGGTGTGGCTGCAGGCTTTATTCCAGCAAAGCAGGAGATCACCTGATCATCAGTGTGAAGACTGATACCAACTGATTAAACAAGTGGAATCAGGTGAGCTCCAGCTTGTTTTGAGTGAAACCCTGCGGCCACACCCGCCCTTTGTTGATAAGATTGGACACCACTGATTTAGTGATCTTATTTTGGGTCACATTTATGTAGAAATTCCCAAAGTGATAAAGGGTTCACAAACTTTCAAACAGAACTGTAACAGTTACAGAATAATTCATAGTTAATACAGAATAATTCTGCAGTTTAAGGAATTAATCTCAGATCTCTTTATCCAACAATATTTCATTCATTCGTTTCACAATCGTCCTGCCAGTCAGGTGCTGGGATTTGTTTCATTTTCTAGTTTTCTCTTCTTTTTCCTTGTTTTAGATGTTCTTCACTGAAGCAGTGTTACTGTTGAAGAGTTATTTTGGGATTAAGGAGGATTTGGCCTTCCTGGGACAGGCAGACACTAATGTATTAACGATAGGATCTGAGTCCCTGAGAAAGCCAACTCGGTCCTTTCACAATAGGATCTAAGGCTCTGAGAACACTGACTTTGGTCATTTACGATGGTACCAAGGGTCCTGAGGGGGGTCGATGGCAAGGTATAATAACTGTTCAGACTGGGCGAAGACTGGAACAGAGCATGTGCAGAGCACTCTGAATAAAATCATATTTTCTGGAAACCCTGGTCTCCTGAATCTCTGTGTGTGGCAAGACCAAAGATTTACTAAAACACCAGTATTAGTAACTTCCACTGAGACTAAAGCTGAAGCTGAAATATGAGAAGGAACACTTTCACTAGTGAACATGATCCCTCAGTGAACAGACTCACTTAATATGGAGTGAAAGTGTATAAATGAGCAGAGCAGGACTGTCTGTTCACAACACTCACCTCAAAAGGTTTTCCACGCCTGAAAGGGAAGGAAGGAAGTTCTTTTTCTTCAAAGTCCCAAACATCATTAATCCTGCTGGCCCTCACGATCACCTGCTTCCCATCCTCATTGAAGCGAGGGTTGAAATGAAAGGCTATATCATCACCTTTACAGATGTCAATCATAAATCTAAAGGGAGAGAAAACAAAACAAAATCACTTTAACCATTTTATTTTTAGATGTGTCCTTCTCTGTGTACTGTTTATTATACTCTTACCTATCAGCATTTGGTTTGGGTTCTCCGCGGACGGTGATCAGTGTTTGGTTCTTGAGTCCTTCGGGCAGAACTTGCCTACAAGGAACTTCTGGGAAGAAGTCTAGAAAGAAAGCAGAGGAGAGACTGAAGGGATGAAAATGAAAGTATGATCTCTGATCTTGATGCTCTGTGAGCTGCATCCATCACTCTTACCAAAGCTGGAGAGATAATGATGTTGGGCTTTATTTAACACCTCCTGTTGCAGAGTACAGTCGACCTGACACTCATTCAACGGTCACTGAATGTATTCCTTAAAAAATCACATATTGTAGCTCTAAGTTGAGCTTTCATTTACAAAACAAAAGTATCTTGATCATTTTCCACCAACTCCCCTTAAACCTGGCAGGTCACGTTGTGGATTTCCATGAAAGAAAAATCAAGCAACCTTTCATTCATGCTACCATGCAATATGTCATAGCTGTGCTAAAATAATTATTTGGTAATAATTATTTAAAGTTTGCCCCGTCAGAATTTTTAAATCATTTAAAAACTTTTTAAACCCTCATATTTTTAAAATGTTATTTTTCAATCACTTTTTAAAATTCAGGTAGTTTCTGTAGATTTCATATGTTTTATTCTTACATTTTATTAATCTTCTGTGTAAAAAATAGGAGAACACACACGATAAGGAGCAGGGAAAAGAGCAGGGAGACGGAGTGAACTATATGGCGCTCATACCATATATGTGCGACCTAATTATGTTCAAGTGAACGGCTGTCTGAACGTGTGAGTACATTCCAGTGCCGGGTTGGTGAATAGAGAGCCCATGCAGGAGTTTTGCACACAGTTTGTCGAATGTTGAAGTAAGAGCTTAGCTCGATAAGCTAACTCTGCTGCTCAAAGTATCGCCCGTTGTATTGTTCATAACACAAGCTGCAGTAGGCTAACTCAGGCTGCTAAAGTGCACCCTAGCTCTATACTCCATGTGTTATTACGTTAATAAGCTCAGTAAGCATAATTCCCCTATAGTGTGTGTGTTATCATCGCCATCCCAAGTCTACCAGCATAAAGACTTTCCAGTTAGTGACTGGGGTGACCCCAGTTTCCACTGGCTACGTTGGAGTACGGACGTTAACTGCCCTGTGTGTCTGGCTGCTTCACTACAATACTCCATTCCACTGCTGCAGAGAGAGAGAGAGAGAGAGAGAGAGAGAAAGAGAGAGAGAGAGGTGCAGTAGAGAGACAGAGCCACTCCCACAGAGGTAACTTTTGTTTTGTTTATTGCTCTTCGGAGTGAAGAGGCCAATTGAATTATCTTTTTTCGGCCGCTACGCACCCGAGCCACGTATCAGGCCTGCAACTCGTCCGTTTAGCTAGTAGAGACTCTACTTAGAGTGAGCTGTGTGTGTGAGAGTGTGTGTGTGTGTGTGTGTGTGTGTGTGTGTGAGTGTGTGAGAGTGTGAGAGTGTGTGTGGGCCCTTTTTGTTTTGTTTTATTTTGTTCAGGCTTTGCCAATACATGTATTTTAAACGAAAATCTACTGTGTTGGACGTGTTCTATTTTTCACATATTCAGAAATTATTTGTTAGTGCTATAATTGTATTTGAAGTTCATATTGAGTGTATAGTGGTAACAAAGTTCTGTCAGATATATTTATCAGTCACTTATGCCTAAACAAATTTAGAAGGTACTGAGTAACCCAGGGCCCCAGCTATATTTAATCACTTAAATAACCACCTATCTACTGGGTACCTAGCTGGGGCGCTACATATGAATCAATGTACTTGAATAATGACAGATATGCCCTTAATAAGTACTCAGACCATTTAATTCACTCAATTTCCAGTCTACATGGACATCAAGCACAAGTTATTCATTTTTCAGCATCAGAAAAAGCACAAAACATTTAAATACAATTTGGCACCCTCCACAGGCTTTACGTGGCCAGTAGGAACTCAGGGGTGTGTCCATGCAAAGTGGCTTTTAGATCGTGTCATTTTCCTGAATAAAAAGGTCATTTCAGTCAGAACCACTTAAAATAAAATATTGTGTTTCCATTTGCAGTTAGTGGTATTTGGCAGCATGGGTCTGTTCTGGGACCTCCCTGCCCTTCTACACTATATTTCCAAAAGTATTCACTCACCCATCCAAATCATTGAATTCAGGTGTTCCAATCACTTCCATGGCCACAGGTGTATAAAACCGAGCCCCTAGGCCTGCAGACTGCTTCTACAGACATTAGTGAAAGAATGGGTCGCTCTCAGTAGCTCAGTGAGTTCCAGCGTGGTACCGTGATAGGATGCCACCTGTGCAACAAGTCCAGTCGTGAAATTTCCTCACTACTACATATTCCACAGTCAACTGTCAGTGGTGTTATAACAAAGTGGAAGCGATTGGGAATGACAACAACTCAGCCACGAAGTGGTCGGCCACGTAAAATGACAGAGCGGGGTCAGCGGATGCTGAGGCGCATAGTGCACAGAGGTCGCCAACTTTCTGCAGAGTCACTCGCTACAGACCTCCAAACTTCATGTGGCCTTCAGATTAGCTCAAGAACAGCATAGAGAGCTTCATGGAATGGGTTTCCATGGCCGAGCAGCTGCATCCAAGCCTTACATCACTAAGCGCAATGCAAAGTGTCGAATGCAGTGGTGTAAAGCGCCGCCACTGGACACTAGAGCAGTGGAGACGTGTTCTCTGGAGTGACCAATCACGCTTCTAGGTCTGGCGATCTGATGGACGAGTCTGGGTTTGGCGGTTGCCAGGAGACGGTACTTGTCTGACTGAATTGTGCTAAGTGTAAAGTTTGGTGGAGGGGGGGTTATGGTGTGGGGGTGTTTTTCAGGAGTTGGGCTCGGCCCCTTAGTTCCAGTGAAAGGAACTCTTAATGCTTCAGCACCAAGAGATTTTGGACAATTTCATGCTCCCAACTTTGTGGGAACAGTTTGGGGAGTTTGGCCCCTTCCTGTTCCAACATGACTGCGCACCAGTGCACAAAGCAAGGTCCATAAAGACATGGATGAGCGAGTTTGGTGTGGAAGAACTTGACTGACCTGCACAGAGTCCTGACCTCAACCTGATAGAACACCTTTGGGATGAATTAGAGCAGAGACTGCGAGCCAGACCTTCCCAGAAGAGTTGAAGCTGTTATAGCTGCAAAGGGTGGACCGACATCATATTAAACCCTATGGATTAAGAATGGGATGTCACTCAAGTTCATATGCGTTTGAAGGCAGAGAAGCGAATACTTCTGGCAATATTGTGTATGTGCATACATATAAAATAGGGTACAGAACAAAGAAGACATCAATGACAGCAAACACTGGCTATGTTTACATGCAACGATTTTTGCCAATCCGATTGAATACAATCCGATTACAGATTTAGACTGAGGTGTTTATATGCACTCTATTCAACAATCTGATGGAAAATCTTCGTTTACATGCTCACTACAAGTAATCCGATGCAAAATGACGCGCATGTGTGGAGTAGCGCTTGGAGTAAACGTTACCATGACAGCGAACATCACGTGAGGTCCAGACCAGTTTCTGCTCCGCCATGTTGAGCGGTGTAAACTTTCGCCGTGACGCGACGCACATGCGCAGAACATACTTGCACGTTCCGATTGGAATGTAATCGGATTCAGGCGTTTACATGGCTATTATTCTTCTATTTAATGGATTATTTAGAAGTTTACCCACCTCGTTTAATCGGATAGAAATTGTATTCCGAATGGCCTCAATCGGATTAGACTATTCCGATTGAGGTGTTTACATGGACGTGTTCTTTTTCCGATTGAGCTATTAGTCGGATTATTAACGGATTATCAGGCTGCATGTAAACGTGGCTACTGAGTCAGGCACAGCACAAAGGAGGAATTGGGGTGGAGAGAGTTTGCAAAGTGGCTCATAGGGGAGCGACGAGAATGGGCAGGCTAAAGCAGGTTAAATAAGCACCCGATGAATGTAACCAATCATATGAATAACAGGCGACCAGCTGAGTCGTCAGCTGAATAAGATCAGCTGATAACAGCTGATAATTTGAGACTGGGGCCTCAGAACGTTTCCGGTGGCATGGCATATAGCTGCAGCGACAACTTCAGCAACAAAAAAACAGTGCTTTTTTGCTCTTTTTTTATTTACTATTTGATAGACTGTGGGAAGAGCTGCGCGAGCTAGGCCTGCTACGATCCATGGCACTGCATGAGCCTGCTGACTGAAAGTGATGTGCAAGAAGGCGCAAGCGAGACAAGTGAGCCGGGGTGCACGCTAGGCTAATGGCTAACTCCAGACAGCCAGCTGTGCCATCGGTCCTGCTTTTTACCGTTTGTTCTTTGTAGGATAAACTGGACTATCTCCGGATCCAGTGGGCTACCCAGCATGAGTTCAGAGACTGCTATGCGGTAAGACTTGAGGTGGGGGCCTGTGTGTTTACATTAACACTGAATGGTGTAAAAGTGCGGTGCTAGTCTCCAGTCACTGCTCACCGCTGGTGGAGTTTGCGATTGTCAGAGCCAGGCCTTTTTATTTGCCAAGAGACCTGACGACAATGTACATAGCAGCAGTGTATATAGCTCCCAGTGCTAATGCTAAAACTGCACTGAACGAGCTGTACAACACTATCAGTGATCTCCAAAACATGCACCCAGATGGACTGTTTATTGTCACTGGAGATTTGAAGCATGCTAATCTGAAGTCAGTGCTCCTTAAATTTCACCAGTATGTGGACTTTGCAACCCAGGGGGTTAACGTGCTGCATCTTGTTTACACACACACCCTGGCACATACAGGGCCAAGCCCCGCCCCCACTACGGTTACTCAGACTACATCTTTGTGATGCTCACTCCAGCATACATACCCCTCATCAGGCGTGCTAAACCAGACCAGAACTTGGCCGCCAGGAGCTATCTCTGCTCTTCAGGACAGCAGCAACTTCTGGTGACTCTATCTACCTGGAGGAGTATAAAGAATCAGTGACTGGCTACATCAGCAAGTGCATTGATCTCCAAACTCATCACAATTCACCCCAACTAGAAACCATAGATGACTGCAGAGGTGTGCATGCTGCTGAGAATTCGCGACAAGGCCTTCAAGTCAGGGGATAAGGCAAGCCTCAGAACAGCAAGAGCCAAACTTTCCCGGGCCATCAGAGCGGTGGCATCAGAGAAGCACGCCTACTCAAAGAAAATCCATGAACACTTTCAAAACATTGCTGACACACAGCGCATGTGGCAGGGCATCCAGGCCATCACCATCTACAAGACACCTCCACCTGCTTGTGACAGTGATGCCTCCCTTTCAGATGTGCTGAACAAATTCTATGCTTGGTTTGAAGAACAGAAGACCACACTTCCTCCAAATGAACAGGTACTGTGTCTGTCCACAGCTGATGTGCAGAGAACTCTACACAGAGTCAACTCATGAAAAGCCCTAGGATCTGACAGCATACCAGGCAGAGTGCTTAGAGAATGCGCTGAACAGCTGGCTGATGTTCTCACAGACATGTTCAACATCTCTCTGAGCACTGCAATCGTTCCAACATGCTTCAAGTCCATGATCATCATCCCTGTGCCGAAGAAGTCTCCAGTGTCCTGCCTCAATGACTACCGTCCCATTGCACTCACTCCCATCATCATGAAGTGCTTCGAGAGGCTTGTCATGAGGCACATTAAAGGCCAGCTCCCCCCTTCACTGGACCCACTTGCCTGAAATAACTCTATGCTCAATTTTGTTGTGACTGCTGCTGTTGTTGTCACTGGGTGGCTTGGTTTGTAATTAGAGTAACTGTAACCGAGGAAAGAGAGATACAGTGCTTGTTGTTGGAACTGTTTATCCCTCATGTCTTCTGAGCTGATGCAACATTGGTGTCAGAAGTGGAATGTGGCTGCCATACTGGAAGAAGTCAAACTCAAAGGCTATGCTGGATCAATGAACTCAAAGGTGGAACATGAAGAAGACATGGCCTGGATGAAAGGGTACCGACTGCAACACCTGTCCCTTCTCTGATGGGTCCAGCCAGTCGAGAGCGAGGCGGCTGGCTGGGGAAGATGGAAAAACAAAACAGCCTGGCGAGGCCTGATGGCAGAGGCCTGGTGGCAGAGCTCAGCTGGAACCCGGTGAGAGGGATATGGCATGCATCTGCACACTTCACTTCAACTGTAAGTGCACCTGCGAGCCATACTCCACACAACTGCAAGTGGTCCCTCAGTATTATAGCTGGACAGTGGCCATCACCGTGACACAGCTGTGTTTGGCCCTGGAGGGAAAAGCAATACTATTGTTATTGTTGATCTGCAGCCCGAATAACATGTTGACCTAGCAGTGTTGATCATGGCCTTCCAGTGTTTCTTTGGGCAGGCGTTGGTGGCAAGATTCATCAGGCGGCTGCTTCCAGAGAGGCAGAGGCTAAAGGAAGAGAGGATCTCAGCAGAGCTGAACATGATGGTTCAGCAGGTTTAATTGGCATTATAGAAGACTATTAAGGCAGCTTGAATGGTTGTTCATCTGAAGCAGGATGTCTGCATGAACAAATTCAACTGTTGTATTAACCCAAAGAATCTTACCTATATTACCCTGCTGTTCTCACATTGTCTCACAAATTTCAAAATTCACACCTAAAACAAACATTTTAATAAAGCCCAACAGTTTTAAACAGAGGGAAGTTAAAACTCCAAAATGCAAAGAAGAAACCAAATATAAACAGGATCCAGAAACACTGCCACCTTCTCTGGGCCTGAGCTCATTTAAAATAGACTGAGGTGAAGTGGAAAAGTGTCCTGTGGTCCAACGAATTAACATTTGAAATTCTTTTTGGAAATCATGGACACTGTGTCCTCCGATTCACAGTTCAAAAGCCAGTATTCATGAGCATAGGGGAGCATTATTGTGTATTCTATGGCATGGGTGACAATAGGGTTGGGATAGCTACTTAAAAATTTACAGCTAGCTACTTTGTGGCTACCTTCCCAAAAATTGTAGCTAACTACAGTTTAGCTACTTTTCCAGAAAAAGTAGCATCTACTTTTTAGTTACTTTCAAAGTGCGATTGTCAGAATTGTGTTTGTGAATCACCACCTGACTCACCAAACAAGCCCAACTGATAGTGTGAACAAGACACTGCATTTAATCATGAGCCAGAAGGAAACATACAATTGAAAAGCTGCAAATATACAAAAAGTATAACCAACAATCAAACTTACACAACCAAAGGCATGATATCCAACAGAAATTTAGATTAAGTAAAGGCAAAGTCAGTCACTCCAGGTTTTTCCTCATAAAAATCAACTAAAATAATCGACACAAACCAAACAACTTTGTGCAAAGAATTGCCAACTGTTGAAATAAAACTGCTCCAATTTAAGCATTTCAGCACGATATGTACAGACATGAAATTCAGAGTCCTTTAAACTTCAGCAACACTTTAGCCTCAAAATCCTCATCAGTGACTCTGGCTCTGTAACATAATAATCCTCCTTTACTGTAAAATCATTATAACACCCAGTTCAAACACAGTTTTCACAATAAACAGTCTTAAACGCAGGAGTTAACGCATAACTGCTAATTCACCAGCCTCAATTTTGTTGTGACTGCTGCTGTTGTTGTCGGCTTGGTTTGGGTGGCTTGGTTTGTAATTAGAGTAACTGTAATCGAGGAAAGTGAGATACAGTGCTTTGGAAGTGTTTATCCCTCATGTCTTCTGAGCTGATGCAACATTGGTGTCAGAAGTGGAATGTGGCTGCAGCTCCACAGCAGAACTAGATTTCTAGGTAAAATAACATAATAATTCTCCTTTACTGTAAAATTGTTATAACACACAGTTCAAACACAGTTTTCACAATAAACAGTCTTAAATGCTGAAGTTAATGCATAACTGCTAATTCACCAGCCTCAATTTTAATGCTGAAGACTGACGCGCAGACTGCTGGACACACAGCAACGCAGATAACCTCAACTAGCTCATAGATAATGAAATGGCAAAGAGAAAGATTTAAGATGAACATCAATAATTTGGAGATGAATGGACTTATTTGCATTTATAAGCGCTCAGCTGGTTTTCTCATACATTTAATCTGCAACTTGAAGCTGAAATCGCTTCTCATTCTCCTGTTTTTCATTTGAATTTTCCAGTTCCACCTTAAATGGCGCAGCAGTATAATTTGGCACTTCAGGTACCATTTAAAAGTCGAACACTGAGAGACATTTTACAAGAAACTCGTAGAAAACTTTCCTGAGATGCGAGAAAAGCGGCTACAGCTGAGCTAAAGGTTAAAACAGAGCAAAGTGAGTTTGCGTTTCGTTTATTTAATTTTTAGCCTGTACTAGAACATTAGCGCATACTTACTTACATACAGCCAAGATAGTAAAATGGCTATAAAATGTTGTGCCTCCCAAGGTGGTTTGATTTTTGTTGAAAAGATAAAATGGCTCTTCTTAATATTTCGGTTGTGACCCCTGTGCTAAGTGGTCACATGCTGATTAAGGGGTGATCAGCATGTGACCATTTGCTCAAACTGTCCGCGGCTCAGTCAGGGCTGTGACGCGTTCTGTGGTTCAGATTTAGCGCACATTGACTGAAAAATTATTGCTATGGCTACACAAAAATTTGTAGGTGCTACAGCTACTAACTACATTCCATAAAACTGTAGCTACAAAAAGTAGCATGCTACCCTCCCATCCATGGGTGACGTGCACATCTGTGAAGGCATCATTAATGCTGAACAATATGTACAGGTTTTGGCAACATATGCTGCCATCCAGACGACAACCTTTTTAGGGAAGGGCTTGATTATTTCACTAACACAATGTAAAACCACATTCTGCATGTATTACAACAGCATTGCTCTGTATTAAAAGAGTCCAGTGGCTAAACTGACCTGCCTGCAGTCCAGATCTGTCACCACTGATAATATTTGGCACATTATGAATGAAAAATATGACAAATGAGCCCCTGAACTGATGAGCAGCTGAAATCCTGTATCAAACAAGAACAGGAAAACATTTCACTTTCTAAACTACAGCAGTAGAGGTGATGAAACACAGTGGTAAACAGGCCCCTGTCCCAACTTTTTGGAACGCGTCATTGGCATCAATTTCAAAATGGGCAGGTATTTTTAAAGAAACAATAAAATTTCTCAGTTTCAACATTTGATATGTTGTCCTTGTAGTATTTACCTTTAAAAATATGTTTTGCATGATTTGTGTATCATGGCATTCTATTTTTATTTACATTCTGCACAGCATCCAAACTTTTTTGGAAATGGGGTTGTACATTAACCAATCTAGTAAACATATTTATACTCACTGTTTTCGGCCATGGTTTGCAGTGGATTATTTCCACGATTAAAGTTCTTCACTCCAGCTGTAATTAAATGAATAAGGTCAGTGGATCATTTAAAATAGAGACATTCAATTCAGCTTGTTTAAATCTTTGGTTTTGAAATCATGAAACAGGTTATTTGAAACAATAATATAAGCTACAGAGGCATCATGTGATATTTCTGCTGGTGTTCAGGGAACAGGAGTTTCAGTGAATGATTAAAGTTTAAGCCCCTGTTACACTCAGAGTTAAAGCACTGATAACCCTCATTAATGTTGTAACAGAAAAGGAAAAGATGGACTCTGAAGTTCCATCCAAGATTTGCTGTCTGCTTTACAATCAGATATGTTTTTTTTCTTTATGGTCTTTACAATTCAAGCTTGGTCTGATTCTAGATGTTTTTCAAAAACAAGGAATATTTTTTATTGAAATTATATTTTCTACCTCAATATTATTTTGATACTCTTGTTTCTCCAAAACCCATCAGAGCTGTTGTTACTGGGAGAAACACTTCAATACCTTTTAGTAACACTTTACAATACTGGCCCACAAATACTAAACTAATGCTTTCATCACAGTGAATTATTGCATACATTAATACTTTAATATTTTATATTGTATTACAATGAAAAGTTTAACATATATTTACACCATAACTTTACTGGGTGGGACACATCATCATTAAGTAAATATATCACATATAGGATTTGAAATTATTATTTTGTTGCATATTATTATTATTATTATTTAACATAACGACACATGCTTTTCTCTTTGCAATGCAGTCAGAAATGGGCTTGTTTATCATGTGACACACTGGTTTGCCTTTACATTTACACCATTTGGCAGACGCTCTGATCCAGAGCGACTTACAATTTGATCTTTTTTTTTTCACACAGGTAGGCAAAGGTAGTGTTAGGAGTCTTGCCCAAGGACTCTTACTAGTATAGTGTAGGGTGTTTACCCATGCAGGGGTTAAACCCCAGTCTACAGCATAGAAGTCAGAGGTGTTACCCCCTACACTATACCAACCTGTAGCAGATTACTTTATTGGTAAGCTAATCGATATGAACCAAACAATATAAATGTCCATATCATTCTGATATATATATATATATATATATATATATATATATATATATATATATATATATATACATATATATATATATATATATGCTATAGACTGGGGCAATCATGGAGGTTAGGGAACCAGCCCTGTGACCAGAAGGTCACCGGTTTGATCCCCAGAGCCGACAGTACATGACTGAGGTGTCCTTGAGCACCTAAGCCCCCAACTGCTCCCCTGGCACTGGAGATAGGGCTACCCACCGCTCCGGGCAAGTGTGCTCACTGCCCCCTAGTGTGTGTGCTCACTAGTGTGTATGTGGCGTTTCGCTTCACGGATGGGTTAAATGTGGAGGTGAAATTTCCCCATTGTGACTAATAAGGGTTAAAAAAAATATGGGTTATTCTACAGAAATGGCCATTTTTGTGTCCCTAGCCTTTACAGATAAATCACACTTGAAAAACACATTACAGTTACAATTTTTCTAGATTTTAATGATTACACCTTCTTGAGTCATCGATTTAGCAATATTGTTTTTTAAATCAATCATATAAAATGCCAAGCACCACCGAAGTGCTTGTCCCCATGTGTGAGGTAAAAAAAAATAATTGAGGTAAAAAAAAATAAACATGTTTTTTTGTGAAATTAATTTCATAAAAAAAGGTCTCTGGTGTTACCTTTATTATGTGTAACACCAGTGATGATCAGTAACACCAGTCACTCCTGTGCACAGATAAATGTTATTCAAAGCTGTTCATTGAGTTCCTTTCCATGAAATACCGCACAGATTTTATGATTATAATGTTTCTTTATCAATGTTAATTCCTTTTTTCGGTCAGTAATGCTGACCAAAGCTGAGAAGCAGCAACTTTATAAACAGCGTAGAGATGCTGATCCTGAACACAGAGCAGAATACTTGCAGAAAGAAACAGGGCTTTGCCAGAGACATTGAGAAAAAGGAGGAAAGGAATAAATGATTTAAGTTAAAGGTAGATAAAAAGCTGTTTAGTAACTGTGTTTACATGCAGATAAAACAGAGCTCAGAGTCTAAGATCACACCCAGGTTTCTACTGCGGGTTTAGTTTATGAAGATAAAGAACCAAGTTTCTCATAAAGCATTTTCTCTGAGTTTTAGTACCAAAGATCAATATTATCTTCTTTTGTGATTTAATTGTAGAGAATTTTGCAACATCCACTAAGAAAGATCTGACCTACAGCTGGTTAGTCTGTCTACAGAGTCTTGATCATCAGAGGGAATGGAAATGTATAACTGGGTGTCAAGCAAAGCTATTAAAATTTATATTTTGTTTCTTAATGACATCACATTGAGAGGTAACATGCACAAAGAGAAAAGAAAAGGTCCTAAAACTGAACCTTGAGGGACTCCACAAGAAATGTTACATTTTTTGATGAATGATTTCCCATTGAAACCATGAATTGTCTATTACCTAATTATGATTTAAATCATTCTGAAACTGTACCTGAGTGGAGACCCAGTATTCAAGATTGTGTACTAGAATATTGTGGTCAACATCATCAAAAGCTGCACTAAGATCCGATAAGTCAAGAATAGTTGGATTTTGTGCATCAGTGCAACCAGAGCTGTCTCAGTACTATGATTAGAACAAAAACCTGATTGAAACTTCTCATATAACTTGTTTGATATTAGATACGCATTTAATTCTCTGAAAACAGAGAATTTTGCTAAGATTTTACTTTGAACAAAGGACGGTTTGAAATTGATCTAACCATTACATGAAAATTGAGGACCATTCCACTTTACTCTTCTTATTCATAACCTTGTAACATAGTATGACATAAACACTGATGGTTTACTTTATTGGAGAGGTTTAGTTGTTTTCTAACAAAGTTATTTATTTTTAAACTGTTGTTTATGACTTATGTATTTTACTTAGTGCTTTCATTAAGCATCAATAATAACCTTTGATTTTATGCTAAATGTAACAATTTAGTCTCACTTTCTTAATTAGATGTGGGAGATCTTTGCTCTTATGTATGTTGGACGAGAAGGTCTGGCTCGCAGTCTCCGCTCTAATTCATCCCAAAAGAGTTCTGTCAGGTTGAGGTCAGGAGGCCAGTCAAGTTCTTCCACACCAAACTCGCTCATCCATGTCTTTATGGAACTTGCTTTGTGCACTGGTGCGCAGTCATGTTGGAACAGGAAGGGACCAAACTCCCCAAACTGTTCCCACAAAGTTGGGGGCATGAAATCGTCCCAAATCTCTTGGTGCTGAAGCATTAAGAGTTCCTTTCACTGGAACTAAGGGGCCGAGCCCAACTCCTGAAAAACAACCCCACACCATAATCCCCCCTCCACCAAACTTGGGTTTGGTGGTTGTCGACTCGTCCATCGGATTGGCCGACGGAGAAGCGTGACTGGACACTCCAGAGAACACGTCTCCACTGCTCTAGAGTCCAGTGGCGGCGCTTTACACCACTGCATTCGACGCTTTGCATTGCGCTTGGTGATGTAAGGCTTGGATGCAGCTGCTCGGCCATGGAAACCCATTCCATGAAGCTCTCTACACTGTTCCTCAGCTGATCTGAAGGCCACATGAAGTTTGGAGGTCTGTAGTGATTGACTCTGCAGAAAGTTGGTGACCTCTGCGCACTCTGCGCCTCAGCATCCGCTGACCCCGCTCTGTCATTTTACGTGGCCGACCACTTCGTGGCTGAGTTGCTGTCGTTCCCAATCGCTTCCACTTTGTTATAACACCACTGACAGTTGACTGTGGAATATTTAGTAGCGGGGAAATTTCATGACTGGACTTGTTGCACAGGTGGCATCCTATCACGGTACCACGCTGGAGTTCACTGAGCTCCTGAGAGCGACCCATTCTTTCACTAATGTCTGTAGAAGCAGTCTGCAGGCCTAGGGGCTTGGTTTTATACACCTGTGGCCATGGAAGTGATTGGAAAACCTGAATTCAATTATTTGGATGGGTGAATACTTTTGGAAATATAGTGTATTCCATTTTGTTAAACATGTTTAACTTTCTGCATATGAGCCATTGAGTGTAATGTTTACTATAACATTGCATTAACCTACATCATCTCCAAACAGACATTATGGATTATAGAAAAGATCTTAATTAATATATCAGGTAATCTTATTAATGAACAGAATAGGTTAAAAATATTAATGGCTCTGACTTTTTTATTAAAGGCTCTGACTGAGTCTTTATTAAAGTACACACTTCATTATTTCCTGATGTGTAAAGTATTAGTCTGTGCATTAATTCACTGTGATGAAAGCGTTAGTTAAGCATTAATACATGCTTATTTGTGGACCAGATTTGTAGAGTTTAAATATCAGTTTTGTAAACATTAACATTAATCATCAAATAAAATTAATTGATTAAGTAAAAACTGTTTCAAACAGATCAAAGCTGCATAGTTCAGTGTTAACATTTTCAGTGCACTTTACTGAGTTGATGATGCTGCATTATAAAACAGTTACTGTGGTTACAAGAAATCTGGCTGTGTTAAATTTTAGTTTAGATGAACAAAATCAACATTTTTATATCAATTCACAGCTCAAAAACACTTCAGGATCAGCTTCTACTCTCTACACCGCAGCTGCTGAGCAGTGAATCTTTACATGTTGAATTAAAAACACTGGATCTGCTGTTTCATTCTGGTTGTAGTGTTCTGTAAAAGCTGAGCTCCACATCTGCTTTGTTTCACTGCAGCAGTTACTACAAACACATCTAATGAATGTAAGTAAATTTCACTTACTTTGTTTTTGAGTGGATGGTTCTCGTGTTCTCAGGAACTTGTGGAATGTATGAACCTGAGTAGATACATAAAGTCAAGATCTTCCTGACAGTCTAACATTACTTACATTTACATCATTTAGCAGACGCTTTTATCCAAAGCGACTTAGAAAAAGTGCTTTGTCTATCCAGAGAAAGTATCTTTGCTAGTTACCAATAGGTTACAGAGAAAGCCAGTCCAGCTCAGATACTGCTAGAATAAGAAAGTCATTGACACCTAGAGAAAAAGGAACTGAGTTAAACACAGAGCAGTGCAATACAATACAATACAATACAATACAATACATAAGTGCTGTACAATGCATTACAAGCAATACTTAATTCAGTGCTCATTTAAGTGCTACTTCACTAACAAACAGTAGTTTCAAACGACACCCTGTAAAAAGAGATTCTGTGTTTCCGCCAGAGGAACTACTGTTATGTAGAGTGAACTGAGCAGCCATTACAGCTAAATAAAGTTTAAAAACTTCAACATGAAAACTTACATATAAGCTGGTTTGATTGAAAAACGTTTTTCCAAAACAAAAGTTTTGGGCTGCGTCTCACAAGACCACAAGGCCCTTCTTCTAAAAGCCTCTTCTTCTAAAAGCCTTTCCCTTCACAAGGCGTTTCCTCTCCAAGGCATTTCCTCTACAAGGCACTCCCAATGAAAGGCATTTCCACTAGGAGAGAGGCCTATGCAACAAATGTGTGTAGTCTACGCTGCCATCTAGTGTGTCTGTAGTGAACTGCAGTACAGCTCTTCATTTCTGTTGTTTTATCATTCACACACTGAGGAGATGAGGACTTACCAATTTCTTGCATTATTATTATTAATTAGTTTTTGGTGTCAGTGTACAGTATTGTGCACTGTACATTGTCTCGTTTAGATCACTCCAGCTATAATCTTAACTTTAGTGCTCTGTAGCTTTAGTACGTTTATTACAATTAAATTACAATTACAATTAAACTTAGTTTCATAAAGACATTGATTAATCTGAATTGTTTAAAAACATCATAGTGCCAAGTAGCCTGTTTATACCTTTGCCAAATTTAGAATTCATTTGTGTACCTAAATAATACATTTCACAGTTTGCATTGATATTCCATTGTGCTTACTTATATGAACATATAACAATTTAATGCTCTCTGAACACCAAAGCCATGAATGATTACAGATCATAGTTTGCATGTGGAGCCAACAGGTCTATAGACAGTGCCATTTATTTGGCTCTTTCCTACATCCTGAAACACCTGGATGGCCCTAACACTTATATAACCTGTGTGCTGTTTGTAGACTTTAGCTCAGCATTATAGACCATCACTCTTGCCTGTTGTGAATGGTGAACTACAGTGAATGGTGCAGTGTGCAGAGAAAGTCATCAGCTGTTGGCTCTCCACCCTCAAAGATTTGTACTCATTTAGGATGAGGAAGAGGGTGAGGAAAATGACGGCTGACCCCTCACATTCTGATCACTCTCTCTTCCAGCAGTTTCCATCTCAGCAGAGACCAAGACTGATAACTCTGAAGACCAACTGCAACCTCCACAGAACATCATCGTCCTGAACAAGGAGCCTCCTCACATCCCTCTGCTTTAAACTGCTGCACATGCTCTTTATTACACAAACTGTACTGTTCAAAACCACTGGATATCCTTCTGAATAAGAGCCTCTTCCACTCTCTTCTACTGTAAGTATGTATGTTTACACTTAGATTTTTATTTGTTGCTCAATTCTCTCAGCTGTACATGCTGCTAAATAATTCAGTACTACAGTATCTGGTTGTATCTGTACTTATCTCCCATTACACAGTGTTTTACTTTAATATAACTTTTCTACTTGTGTTTCATTGGATTTAATTTCATGGTGAAACCTGCTCTGCTGAATAAAGATTCTGATTCTGATTTTAATCTAAATATATCATCACTGACATTATTTTAGAGCTAATAGATTATAATTCCAGAGCTAGCAGAGATTAGCATTTTCATAGAACTGTTTTTTCATGTTTTGACAGAAACTTGTAAGGAAAATGATGAAGACAAACTGCTGAATGGGCCACAGAGAGCAGAGTGTGAAAGTGGATTGCAGGTGCACCGGTCAACACGCAGTCCAGTTTCTCAGACTGCTATGACGTTCAGCATTGCTACCAAACAGGGTGTTCAGTCTTACCCACAAAGTGGTGGTGTGACTGCACATTGTCATTCTGAACAGTGTAGCTCTCCTGATTCTCCTCCTAAAATCATTTCCCTCTCATCATGTCTGCTCACTATTAACCAGGACTGCAAGATGAGAGAGAACAAGACCCTGGACCTGTTGTATGTCCATGTTAAAGAAACATATAATGCTAAAGTTCTTCCCCCACTGTGCCATTCAGACCATAATCTGGTTCACCTCACTGTACAGGCCTCTGGTTCAGAGACAGATAGTGACCACAAGGACAGTGAGGAAGGGCTCACCTGAGGCTGTAGAATCACTGAGTGGCTGCCTGGACAGTTTAGAAAAGTCAAAATGGATTAGTAAAGAAAATAAATTGAGCATTAATCAACAGCCAGTAGTTCTTTGACAAGTCATGGTCTGAACGAGAGATGGCCAATCAACGCTAAGTGGGTATTACCTCTGTCTATCCCCCGAGAGACATTGTGGTATCTGGAGCTTCATGTGTTATCTGATGTTGCAGGTTTGGAATGTGAGGGGGCCCCTGGTCCAAAATTTCAAGGGTTAAGGTCTCCTTCCTCTTTAGTTCCAGAGGAATGAGACTATTATAAGAAGGACCACATGTTCTGTTCCCTTTTTCCACAACAACCACCCTATATAAGCAGAAGGTTATATTGTTCTGAAGGGGACACTTTAGAATTGGCACGGATCCCCTCTCAGGTACTTCATAGTGCTTGATATGATACTGTTTTACTTTGTAATAAACATCTTATACAAGCAAGACAGTGTCAGCCTTCTTCATCATCTTCACATCATCGCTATTTAATAAACAACAACATCCTGTGAAGAAAATGCAGAGCCAGAAGAAGAGAGAACACTGAAGTAAAATAACAAAGAAAAACTAAGATATACTAATCAAACAAGTATTCTAATGGATTTTTGATACCTAGAACCACTAAATATTTGGGACTGGAAGCTACTAGAAAGTCAGCTAAATAGAACTATTGAGCTGCTGTTACACTCTATGCTATAAGTTGCCTTTGGTGAAGGGTAATGCTAACTGCCATTTTGTACTACTAAACAGTGATCCAGCCATGTGGTGTTACGAGGGTACTAATGTGTATATATTGGAAAAGAAAAGTGAAATGTGCTTTGTAAACTGGTTTTGAACAATATGTGTGGGTGTATTATGATGCTGTTTTGTGAACAGGTCAGTTTTTTTGTTGGTTTGTTTCAACTCTCCCCTGCATTCGGCTGCACGTGGCGCGTGCACCCATTTGGACACTAGAAATGCGAGCCAAGCCCATGTCTAGAGGACAACTCAATGGACTTTCGAGTTCGAGCACTATAGACGGACTTTTCTCTCGGTGACTACACTCAACAGTGTGGTAGGACTGAAACTCTCAATTTCCCCTGTGAACCTAAATTAAAAAAAAAAAAAAGGGAGACACATATTTTATTTCATTTTTGAACCACTTCTAGTTAAAAAAAGGTTGAATTTGTATCTTGGTTATTGTCTGGTTGATTGATATTTGTTTGTTTTGTTGTTTAATTCATTTTTTAATAGATTTGTTTTAAAAGAACAAAGGTTTATCTTTTAAGGTTTGAGCATTGTGGAAACTAAAATAAGTAGAACTAAAACCATAAAGTAGCACTTTATACACTAGAATATAAAGCTAAACTGACACCTAAACCATAAACAGAGATTAGTACTTACCTTAGCCGACTTAAATCCTAAACCCTAACTTAAAGTACAGATACAAAAAGTTAATTAATTACTAAAACTTTAATACAGTGCACCAATTAGACTGACAAACTGAAAAAAATATAACTACTGATTGTCCAAGGACTGCGTCAATAAAATTCAATATATTATATTGATTAACATGAGGTCAATACCTGGGAAAAAAAGGATCCCTGTTGATTGTTTGAATTAGAGGGCAATTGAAGCTTTTGTGAACACTTGAATGGTCCTCACTGTATTGTTTTTTTATTTTACTATTTGTTTTCATTGCTGCACTTATCTTTGTGGAGTTTATTAATTCTGTTGAAGCTAAGAAATTATAAATTCATTCCTTAATACAAACTCGTATGGTTTTATCTGCACTGGTCTTGTCCTTTTTTATATTTTATGTAAAGTGCCGCTCCCTGAGTGAACCTACACTGGTCCATTTAAAACCCCTGAAACCTAGTTTAGTGCTAGAGCTGATGCACGGGTTACAAGTAACTTAAAGTTCCTGCTGAACCAGAAGAAAGGAGCATTTAGGGCAGGAGACGGGGAGGAATTGAAGAGGGTACAAAAAGACCTTAAAATAGGATTAAAAAAGCCAAAGAGGAGTATAAGTCAAAGACTAAAGTCTAAAACAATAATTAGTCTAAAACAAGTTAGAGCTGAAAACACTCAGGATGTGGGGAGAAGTTATTATTTAGCTTAAAATCAGAATCAGAATCTTTATTCTCCAGTGCAGGTTTCACCATTAAATTAAATCCAATGAAACACAAGTAGAAAAGTTATATTAAAGTAAAAGAATGTCTAAAGGGAGATAAGTACAGATACATCCTAAATGAGAAAAAGGGGTCACCTGAGGCTGTAGAATCACTGAGGGGCTGCCTGAAGGCTACAGAATGGGGTGTCCTATGTGAACCATATGATGAGGACATTGATGCAATAACAGCATGCAGCACTGACTACATCAATGTCTGTGTGGACTCATACCCTCCAAGACTGTCCAGTTCTTTTACAACAACAAACCCTGGGTCACCAATGATTTAAAGTCCCTGCTGAAATGGAAGAAAAGAGCATTTAGGGCAGGAGACAGGAAGGAACTGAGGAGGGTACAAAAAGACCTTAAACTAGTTAGGAAGGCCAAAGAGGAGTATAAGTCTAAGCTGGAAAACAAATTGGAGCTGAACAAAATTTGGGATGTGGGGAGAGGCTTAAAGGACATTACTGGCTCCAACCAACGCAGCCCTATTCCAGCAGAGGGAAAGCATGAATGCGTGCATACACATTTTCAAGGCATACATTTCACACCACACCATTGTTTTATGGCCTGACCCTAGACCAGCTCATAACAGGGTCTGCGGTTTACAAAGTGAACTCCTGAATCCAGCAGAAAGCAGCTCCACTCCTGAATCCTGTAGGTCATTGTGACTGAGGTCCAGATCTTTCAGGGAGGAGTTTACTGACTTTATAGCTGATGTTTTTTGTTTTTTTTTCTCCACAGGACATTGTTGTTAGATTATAGGCAGCTAAGTCAGATTAAATACAGTGCATTGTACAAGGACAATCAAATTCAGGAGAAGTAGAATGGAGTGATGTTACTCTCCTTTTACTTTTTTTTGTATTTCCTTCCAGAAATAAGTAGAAACACAGGGAATCCTAAATAAAACTGTAAGTATTTAATGTTCACAGTTTATTGTGCTTTATCAGCTTAACTTTTTTATTTTCAGTTCAAAATGTATTCACAGAAAGTTCACCTGAGAATCTCCAGTTTACAGTAATAATGCTTCAGTCCACCAAATAAGGAGTGATCCACTCCTGAGTCCTGCAAGTCTTTGTTACTGAGGTCCAGCTCTTTCGGGTTAGCTGCTTTACAAGTACAATAAATTAAAGATCAGTACAATGTTATGACCCCACAGGCAAGTCTAGGGGACAATGGGGTCAGCAACATATTATATTCTGGACCTGGTTGGCGTTAAATGAAAGAAATCATCAAAACAAACAGAAGGAAAAACACCAGCCTAGCTCTTTAATTTAAGTTCTCACTTATCTGTAAAACAAAATAGCTATTTACACTGATCTTTCCTATTCCAAAACATAAATACAAGGGTTGGAGCCCACCCCTTACTGAATGTGTCTATACATTGGGCTGCTGTGTGGTGGAAAAATGTATGAGCGTGCCCATCTAACCTGTCCAGAACCCCAAGAAAGCACAGCAGCATATGAGAGAGAAAGAGCATAAACAGAAGTAAAACAGCAATAAAGCTGGTGTGATTAACAACTTATGAAAGCACAAGCTGACATGGACCAGACAAATCTCCATCTGGCATGACAAAGCTAGCACAGACACACACAAAACTGCATGAGTGAAGGAGTACAAAGTGAGAGAGAGAGAGAGAGAGAGAGAGAGAGAGAGAGAAACACCAGCCAGACACCCCGTATCCAGGCCGGACACGTAACAATTACTTGTTTGCGTACCTGAATGCAGATGATAAAGTTTTATTTTTCTCTTTTCTCCTTCTAGTGCTCTAGCAGTCATGCAGATTTGTAGAAGAAGAGACGTCATGAAACAAGGACTACAGCACCAAGACCAACCAAGCCAAAGACTTTTAAACACACTGGACACACTTTAACACTCATCCAGGCAACATGAGGATCTTCTGACACCAGAGGAGCTTTCCTAGTCTAGAAACGTCTGACTGTGTTTTTAACCACAGTGATTTTTAGACAAATGTTTGTTTAAAAAAAAAAATTGCATAAAATTTAACTTTGGGGAAATGGAGAGCACTCATTACACTAAATGTTGAGTATTACTTAAATGCATTGTGTATTACCTATGAGTTTTAAGAAATATTATGTGTGTGTTAATACAGTAGTTACATTACTGTTAATACATTAGGTACAATATTTTTAGACTTGAAGCATTTGACCTTCATGATTGCAAATTACAAAGTACAAAATAAATGGTCATCTAAATACAGTAGTTGTACTTCTATATAATACTACAAATTTCTATTGTGTGCTATAGGTAAAATAATTAGTACAGAAGAGGTATATAACATAGAATGCTAAGAATGTATTTCAGTACACCTTAGTAAAGACTTAAAGTACATACTTCAGTAAACTGAACCAGTATTGCAAGAATACAAGGAGGATTCAGCAAATATACTTGACTGTATTTGTAAATATACTGATAATATACTGGGATGATATAACTTGATATACTAATTAGGTGATTAAAGAGCACAGAGTTACTATTACAAACATACTTTTATCACAGTTTAAATTTAGAGTAAATTTAGAGTAAATTTGGCAACACAGACTAGTATACCTAGTGTACATAAAGCATAACTTAAATATATATCAAATACACATTAGTGGTGATTTAGTACAAATTACTGGATCCAAAATAATATAAGCATATACCTTTGTTAGCACTATGTTAGTACATTTTTTTCAGAAGGGTTTATAGTGTCTTAATGTAAACCATCTTGGGCGGACACCTCATGGATGTTGCCTACATGTTTATATTGCAGTGAAAGGGTGCACACCTCCTCAGGCCAAGCTAACGTAGTAGCTATGTGCTCAAAGACACAGAAGCAGGTATTTACTTTGTGCTCACAAAATGGAGGCATTAAAACAATCACGTCAAAACTGGGACCTGTAATTGGGTTCAGCAGTGACTCCAACTCCCATAACCAAATTTCTCTCTCCATCTCCAGCTCCAACTTGTGGAAAGCTATTTTTGTTTCATGTTCAGCTTGGAGAGCCTGTGCCTCCAATCGGAGACGCGCCATACGCACCTTCAAATGAGCCTCTTTCCCAGATGATGAAGGAGATAAAGGAAAGTACGACGCTTTGGTTTCACTTCTGCCTCTGCAACATAAGGTGCTCCCAGCCAGCCGGCAACTTCCTATATGTCGGCAACAGTGGTGTAAACAAGACTAGTGTGCCCCCCTTAGAACCCCCAAGCCCTCCTAGCCTAGCAACAACTATCTGTTTTATCTCCTTTTTAACTAGTCTTAGAGATACGAACGTGAAGTGTAATTACCAACAAATTAGGATCCAAACATTATCCATCTTCTGTAAAGAAGTCAAGAATTTAACCTTCAAGCCATGAGCTGAGCCGAAAATGTAATTTTATTTAAATTAAAATAATAAGTTAACAGAGTGTAAAACAGATTATCATTCAGAACTTATTGTTAGATGTATAGTTAACTCAACATTTGTAAGCAGCCAGGTTACTTACATTTTTAACTGAAACAAATATTTCTTTTTACAGTAAATGAAGCTCTGTATAACATTCAGACAAAAGGGGCAAATTCAGAGGTAAAAGGGGCAAATTCAGAGGTAAAAGGGGCAAAGTCAGAGGTAAAAGGGGCAAAGTCAGGTCACTGCATCTTTTTTTTTTAACAAAAATTCTGCTTGTGAATGAATTCTTCATAAAAGTTCACTCCCTTTCCAGTTAGTGACTGTATGTTTACTGAACTACACAAACGTAACTTTCTCATGATTATGTGCCTCTTAAGCTCCGCCCTCCAGAGCTGGTCACTGGTTGGCCACATCTATAAATGATCTGCTGCAGAAACTTCATCTGCACAAACTGCTTCTCTACAGACGCTGACACTTCACTTCTACAGCCTCTACTGACCACCGTGAGTACTGCACTTATACACACACACACACACACACAGATGACTGTTAGTGATAACACAGCTTTAGTGATTTAGTGCTTACAACTGCAACAAAATACTGAAAATATATACAGTTATATGTAATATGAAGTAAAACCACCATATAGAGAAATTGTTAGAGTTTCTTTTATCTTACAGCAATTATTGCAGTGAAATTATAATTAATAAACTGTAAACATTCTACAGGAAAATGAGCAGGAACACACTGTTCACCAATCAGGAACTGCATAAGGGGGAGTATCTGATTTCTACTGATGGAAACCACAAAGCCGTCTTCCAGGTACAACACCTGCTGACAACAGCACACAGTTTTAACTGTTAACTCTGAAAACATAATTTGAGTACAAGCTGTTCTCTGGGCAAACACCATGAAGGTTTCCTTTACCTGACTGACATTTCCTGTATGTTTGCACTCATTCAGGATGATGGGAACTTTGTGGTTTACAGCTGGAAACCAGTTTGGGCTTCAGATACTTGCGGCAAACCAGGAACTCGTCTGGTAATGCAGGAGGACGGAAACCTGGTCATGTACACCGATGATAGCAAAGCCTTATGGGCCAGTAACAGCTGGCAGAAGAGTGGCACCAAGGACAACCGTCTGTCCATCAACAACGATGGCAGCCTGATCATCCAGAGAGGAGCCACAGTGCTCTGGACAGCTAAAAAATAAGACTGTATATAGCCCTGTGTGGGTGCAAGCTTTCAGAGTAATATCTGACTGAAATAAAGAAATTACATTAAAATGATATACATGAGCTTTTGTGATATTAAACTCATAAATGACTGCAAAATAAAAGAAAATGATGGAAAACAAGGTTTGTTTGAATGAACTACATCTTACAAATAAAAAATCTGATTCACATTAAAAAAATGCAATTTGTCTTCATTTTTGGATTTAAATGATTTAATTTGTGATTTTATTTCACTTAATGTGTAAAATGTGTAAACATTGTGTAAACTTCATGTTTAAATCTACCTGATTATAAAACGAGGGGCTTCTGCCCTTCCACAGGGCACCTTTAGCTCCAGAAAAGCTGGGACAGTGTGTGAAATACTGATAAAAACAGGAAGCAGTGATCAGTAAATTCTGTTTCATCTGTATTAAATTGAAAACACATAAAAATATAATATGTAACTTCATGCACTTTGGACCTCATTCTTGAATATCTTCCTAAGTGTGTTCTTAAGTGTGTTCTTGAGAAAGATCCCAAGAAAAAGTCTCCGTCAGATTCATGTCGTTTTCTTAAAGCGCAGAACTGTTCTCAGCTTTGTGCTCTTGAGTGTGTGTAGATTCGGTTTCCCCCAATTTTCTTCCCAATTTAGTCATATTCAATTCCACCCACTAGTTCTGTGTCCCCCAATCATACAATCACACCAGCTCTAGGAGGGTGAAGGCAAAGTCTTCCTCGAGTTCTGTGAAGCTCCACCGCATCTTTACAAACTGCTGCTAACGCAGCTCACTGTACAGCCGAACGGGCTCGGAGGAGAACGGTAACCACCAGATCTGTTACACCAGCTAACAGATGCCTGCACTGACTAGCATGCGCTGAGTGATGGGGAGACAGGAAGCCGTCCTGCCCATTTAGAGAGAGAGCGGACTGTTGTGCTCTCTGGGACTCCCAGACATGGACGGATGTAGCATGACCGGGGATCAAAATCTATAAATTCTGTTCTTCCTAAGAACAAATCCCAGAGAACACTGGTGAGTCAGAATCTTCATCAAAACTGTGCAAGTGGGTTTAAGAAGAAATTTCTCCAGTTGGAGAATGAGGACCAATATTGCTTGTTTAAATCAGAATCGTTTTGTTTTGCCAAACATGTTACACATACAAGGAATCAGTCTTGGTGAGCCACACGTGTATGACACTAACATACTGAACAGACAAGAACACAGACTGATAACAAGTACTGAACTGAGGGGAAAGTAAAATACAATAAACAGAATATAAAGAGTAATAATAATAAAAAAGCAGCCAATGTGAAAGGAGCTCAGGAGATGTACATATGAGATGTGTGGGTGTCTGTGCATATGTAGATATGAACATATGTATGTAGGTCAGACTTGTGCTATAAAATACACTATAATAATTATTGTATGCAGAATATTACACAGTGATATAGACATTTGTAAAAAAAACATTACTTGTACAGTAGTGCAAATAACATTGTGCTACAGAGGAGTTACTGTAACACAGTGAGGAGATTTGATGGTCAGTTTAAGTGTGAAGTGTCCACTGTGGTCAATGAGCTACAGCTCTGGGGAAAAAGCTGTTAGCATGTCTGGCTGTGCTGGTTTTGATGGTCCTAAATCTTCAAAGGGGAGTGTCTGGAGTAGCTGATGTCCAGGATGAGAGGGGTCAGCTGTTACTTTGCCGGCGCTCTGTTGTTGTAGACATCCTGAAGCATTTGCAGATACATCTGATGATCCTCTCCGCTGGTCTGATTATGGGCTGGACTTTGGCTCGTTCTTGTGAGGTGGAGGAACCGAACCAGATGGTTATGGATGATGTGAGGATGGACTCCTCACAGTAGAGCTGGATCATCAGGCTCTGTGGCAGGTGGAACTTCTTCAGCTGTCTCTGGAAGAACACTCTCTACTGGGTACTCTTGGCAACGGGGTTCCTCTCCCACTTCAGGTCCCTGGACATGGTGGGAACCAGGAACCTGTGACTCCACAGTGGAAACCACACAGCCATTGATGTGGGGGGTGGGTAGGGAGGAAGGGGTGCACCTGAAATCCATCACCATCACCGTCTTTTGTGTGTTCAGCAAAAGGTGGTTGCTGCTGCATCAGACTTCTGGACTTCATCTCTGTAGGCAGACTCATCACCATTGGCTATGAGGCCCACCACAGTGGTGTAATCTGCAAACTTCAGGATCTTCACAGCTGGTTCTTTAGAGACACAGTCATTGGTGTAAAGACTGAAGAGAAGGGGTGAGAGTACACAGCCTTGGGGCACCCCCGTACTGAGGGTCCGGGGGTCTGACGTGTTTTTCTAGACGCACCTGCTGTCTCCTACTTGTGAGGAAGCCAAAATTTGATGCCTACAGCACATTCCAAAAAGTTGGGACAGCTGCATGTTTACCACTGAGTTACATCACCTTTCCTTTTAACAACATTTAATAAACATTTGGAGACTGAAGACACAAACTGCTCAAGTTTTGAAAGTGGAATTTTTGTCATTCTTCAGTTATACAGGTCTTCAGTTTCCTTTGTCATATTTTGTCCATCATAATGCACCACACATTTTCACTGGTAGACAGTTTTAGACTGCCATCAGTTCAGCCTGCATCTGCACTCTCTGAGTATGCAGTCATGCTGCTGTAACATGTGCAGAATGTGTCTTGGTGTTGAGCTTTCACAGATGTCTATTATTTCCATAAACAATCTGAAAGGTTGACTCATCAGGCCACAATACACATTTCCACTGAGCATCAGTGAATTTCAAATGAGCTTGAGCCCAGAGAAGTCAGATGTTAACATTTCACATGTTAACGTTTAACATGTTAATAGTCTTAAATTGCTCCTGTCTCATCTTTTATGGAATGTGTTGAAGGCATCAATTTTAGAATGAGCGTATATTTAAAAAAATGAATGAAGTTATACTGTAGTTGATCTTTGTTCTACTTTTGTTTAAATACAGGTCAATTTACAAATCACTGCTTTATGTTTTTGCTTGCATATCACATACTGTCCCAACTTTTTTGGATAAATATAAAAGTATAAAGTATACGTTTTATAAACTTTAAACCCATATGTCAAATTAAATTTTTATATCCTCTGAACATTTAAACCTTCATACCAACTAATTATTTTAATTTGCATTTTTAATCATTATATCACATGATGCGACCATTTAAAAGATTTTGAATAAGATATAATAAAAATCATGCATCAAAATAATAGAGCTTACTTGTTTCTTTTGATCCATAGCACTTCTGTTTTGTCACCAAGGTATTTACCAATGCTAGACAGCAGCTGTTTCTTGTAGCAATCCTGTAGAAATTCATAATAGCATAGATCATGTTCATTAGTTCAGTTTTCAAAGCTTATAACATCATGAAAGAACTATATTTAAGACTTTAGAATGTACTAATGTGCTAACCGTGAGCCCCTATTCTCAAGCTGACGCACTAACCACAAGCTAATTGTGAGGTACCACATTAAGCAGGAACTACTAACTGGTAATATCCTAACTGGGAACTAATGTTCTGACTTGTGAACTAACACACTAACCACAAAGTAATGTGCTAGCTGTACATTTAATATAGTAGGTGTAAAAGGTTGTTTTTTAAAATCCATGTAAATTTGCAGAAGTCAGGTTAAATAGTTCATGATCTATAACACAGCATATATTTCAATATGGGCTGAAATGAATTAAAAGGAGACCACTTGGGTTAAAATGCAGCACTGTATCTTTAAAGGCCAGAGTACACCTGATGATTGAGAAGGAGGGTTTATTCAGCTTTTGCTAGTTATAATAAATCAGAGTCAGACAGCACACAAGCATACACATTTACTAGCGTCTACTCCTGTATCTCATACTGTATATGCACAAGCACATGTGACTACCATTTATGACATATTCCCTCTTTTGTGTTTTAATAATGTCACAGAACACTTTAACCTAAAATGGTTATCTACTTAAGCAGCACACATCCTAAACCAAAACTAACTCAACCTGAGACAGTGGTCTCTTCCTTACTCAAACAAGGTACTGTAAAATTACTGTTACAGTTATATGGTCACAAATCAATGTCATCAACATCAATACCCGTTTTCTTTTTTTTTGTCCAACTTTCCCAATCTGCCTGTTTATAATAGTTCAGCAAATACAGATACAGACTCCATCCTGTAATGATCTAGTCTCTGATCTAAGTGCTACATTACGGGAAACACTTGACGTTCTCGCTCCAGTCAAATGAAAGAAAAATTGGAGGAAAACTAAACTGCAGGTACTTTAAGATGTTCTCAAAGAGCAGATCTCAGTCTATAATAATGCTATGAAGATATCCAGACAGTCATATCTCTCCAGTGTAATTAATAAACACATAGATAATACCAAATCCTTTTTCCAGCATAGACCAACTAATTAACCCCAGCTTTTCTGCTAATGCGTCTCATGATGACTTATCTTCTAAAGTCTGTGAAGAGTTCACAATTCATTTTCAAAATAAAACAGACCTGATATGACAGGGTGTAGCTCAGCTGACTGAAACAAGCTCCTATAATGTTCCTGATAAGCCACCTACATCAGTAATGACATCTTTCTCAGTTATCAATTATCAGGAGTTTTCAACTGTTATAAACAAACTAAGTTTGTCCACATGTGATCGTGACCTGTTCCTACTTCATTCCCTAAGATGGGTTCACAATGATGTTTTAACTATTGTAAATTGTTCTCGTCAACAGATATTTTCCCAGACGCTTTTAAAACTGCCCTGGTGAAGCCTCTGCTAAAAAGAGTAGTATGGATCCTTCAGTGCTAAATAATTTTAGACCAACTTCAACCCTGCCTTTTTAAGAAAAGTTTTAGAAGAAGTTGTTTTCAAACAACTGAATATGTATCTAATATCAAACAATTTATATGAGAAGTTTCAGTTAGGTTTTGGTTCTAACCATAGTACAGAGACAGCATTGGTTCACGTTATGAATGACCTCAGGCTCAGCGTTGATGCACAAAATCCTTCTATTTTGGTCTTATTAGATCTTAGTGCAGCCTTTGATTCTGTTGACCATAAGATTTTACTCCAGCTTCTTCTTGGTTTCACTTGGAAATCATTAATCAAAGAAACTTAACATTTCTTGTGGAGTCCCTCAACGTTCAGTTTTAGGGCCTTTTCTTTTCTCTATGTTGCCTC